CTTAAACAGGTGAATGGAGGGTCCCTCAGGGTCTCAGCCTGTCACACCTTTATGGTCACCGCTCCTTGGGGTCCTGGGCTCTACCTTTGCTTGTCCTAGTTCTCAGTCGTGAAGTTCCTGCGGGGGGTGGGCGGTCACTTTGGCCTGGGTTTCTTAAATTACGTGTAGGCATGTTGCCCAAGAGATCCATTACTGCAGGCCAATTTTGATTTTGGTCATGGGAACATCAGGATTAACTGCACACAGGCCTACATTACATGGGACCAAGTTTGTAACATGGGACATCATCTAGTTCACAGTAACCAGGACCTTCCCCCGCCCTTGTCTACCCCTCTGACCCCCAGGGCAAGTAGACCCTGGTACAGATATGTGATCATGCGATGGCCCAGATGAGGCTTCAGGTCATCAGGCCCTGTCCTCATCAAAACACCATCACCACCCGTCTGCCACCTGAAGCTGCAGCCCCCAAGAAGGTACTAAATCCTGGGGAGGTATAAAATCCAGAACTACTGAGGATATCCCCAGGGTGGTGCACAAATGCAATAGCAATTAAGACACAACTCACAGCCATTTCTGCCAACATTTGACTGTCTGCAATTCATTAACGTGGTTCCAAATTAAGTGTGGGGGAAGCTGGGACATGCTACCTTACTAGGTGTCCAGAAAGAGAAAATGGGATCGGTAAGCATCCAGCCAGTTTGTCACAACCCATCACAGGATTGTGCTCACCGGGTATATATTTTATCATTTCCCCAGTGCATTTGACATTGTCACTCAACAACTCAGAACCCCTATAATTACTGAGCTCGTCTCCCTGAACAATCTCTAGGGTGTGTAGTCCTTTGCATCAGGTTCAAATACTGTTCCTTACCACCAGGAGATTATCAACACAAAATAAACTGTCTCCACCCACACCCAGTAATGCAGTGGGTGACACGTACAGCAGGACATACTGAAGATGCTGAAGAAACAATCCCCAACATAGATTTCTATTCTCAACAATAGTGTTTTTCAAGAAAGAGCACATGTAGCCAAAAACTAAAAATGTAATAAAAAACTAACTCAAGGAAATGAATGCTAAAGCTTACATTCATTTAAGGTCAAAGGAAAGTGATCTGTGTGAAAGGTCTGCAGCAATAGCAGTACTAAAGATCCAAGATAAGGATACAGCTGTGCATTAATACAATTGCTCATTGTCTGCATAAGACATATGACCTTTTTGAGTAGAATAATAGAAGTATCATACAATCCTCAATAATATCCCTTACGTTGTCCAAGGAGAAGGTAAAGGTATGAACTCTATGCTCATTTACACTAAAGTATTATAATTTTAGCTTAAATATTAATAAAATAGGAGTATATACACTCCTAAATAAAAGCAGTTTAGAATGTAAATTATACAAATTTTTAAAAGAAAAATACAACAGAATTGCAGCAAAGATAAGCACAAAACAAAAAGATGCTGTTAAACACAAATATACCACCTAACACATGAAAAAAATGTTTGAATTAGTAACTTTGATAAGTTGAAGAAATATCTAGCAATATGCAGTTTATAAGTCACACTTCTAAGACATAATGTTACAGAAATAGATGAAATAACACCAAGTCTACAGAATCTCATCTAGAAAAAAAGAGGAGGAACACTTCCCAGTTCATTTTGGGAGAACAGTATTACTCTGACACCAACATCAGTACAAAAAAAATTAAAGTATATACCAAAATGCTCATGATTTCAGAAACAAAATTCCTCAACAAAATTCTAGCAAACAGAATACTGTAATACAGATACAATAAAAGAATTGTATTCCATGGGTTGGTGGGTTGTACTGCAGGAATGCAAGGCTGGTTCAGCATTCAGAAATCAGTCAAAGCAAGTCATTATACAAACAGGCTACATCAGAAAAATGTGATCACATCACTTGAAGGAAAAAAAATTTTTTTTGACAAAATTCAACACTCCTGCATAATGAAAGCTCTTAGCAAACTAGCAGAGAAACTTTCCAAACTAAAGAACCTCTATATGAAAACCCACAGCCATCATCATGTTTAATGATCAACACTGAATGCTTTCTCCCTAACATTAAGAACAAGGCAAGCACGTCCTCTTCCAGCACTTCTACTCAACACTACACTGGGAGTTAGACAAGTACAATAAAGACAGTTTTTACTGAAACTGATATGAAAAGTCTACAGAGGAGGAAAAGAAATAAGATGTTTTCTGTTTTCTGATAACATACTGTTTATAAAGAAAATCATGAAAAATCTACCCCCCACAAAGCTGCTGTAACTATTAAGTGAATTCAAAACAGTCACAGGATACAAAGTTAACACATAAAAATTAATATTTCTCTATAACAGTAACAATCACGTGCAAACAGAAATTAAAAACTCAATACCACATACAATGACACAAAAGAAAGTGCCTACATAAAAATCTAACAATATGTCTGGGATCCACAGGCTGAAAGTTACAGAACACTAATGAAATAAATCATAGAAGATCTAAATAAATGCAAAGACACACCATGTTCATAGACTAAAAGACCAACATAATAAAGATTCCAAATCTCACCTAAATGACCCACAGATTTCTAGCAAAATCCCAGCAAAAGGTTTTGTAAATAAGGACAAGAACATAATACACTTTTAATGGAAAGTCAAAGGTTAAAATGGTATGGAAGGTTAAATCAATTTTTAAAAAGGATAAAGGTACAGGAATCACTTTACCCAATTTTAAGATCTAGTGATAACTACAGTAATCAAGATAGTATGATATTGGCAAAGGTTAGAAACACAGATCAAAGAGATAATATAGAGCACTCAGAAATTAACCCGCATAAATATGCCCAACTGATTTCTGACTAAGGAGAAAACGCAATTCAATAGAGGAAGAATAGTCTTTTCAAGAAATGGAGCTGGAACAGCAGAATATACTTAGGCAAAAATACAAGAAAGAGATTCAACCTAAACCTCATAGAATAGTACAAATATTAACTAAACATCAACCAGAGATTTAAATGTAAAAGTTAAAAGTATAAAACTTTTAGGAGAAAATATTCGGGACCTAGAGGTTGCTGAAGAGTATGAAGAGGTGTCTTCACAATAGTGCGATTAATAAATAAATCATAAATAGCTTGGCCTACAATGGCAATACAAATCTACATGTAGTCATTTAAAAGGCCCTGAGGAGGGTTCAAAGTGAAGACATGATTATCTTTCTGTAGAGTATATTTCTAACTGTGAGGTAATACTATCTTGTGTTGCTTAAAAAAAACAAAAAAAAAGCTAAAGGAGAAACTCCAAAATACCCTGAGGAGAGGTACTAGTCATTAGTTTTTATACCAGGACCAAACCCATGGTGACAAGAGTGAAACTCACATATACCCACACGAACACATGCCCACTTTGTTAAAATTCTAGTTAATTTGACAGTGAATCTTCACACAATCTTTTTTAAGATTAAAAACGAGATATGCCCTGGCCAACGTGGCTCAGTTTGTTGGACTGTTTTCCTGTAAACTGAAAGGTGGTGGGTTTGATTCCTAGTCAGGGCACATGCCTAGGTTGTCGGTTTGGTCCAGGTCAGGGCGCATATGAGAGGCAACCCATTGATGTTTCTCTCTTAAATTGATGTTCCTCTTCCTCTCTCTCCCTCCCTTCCCCTCTCTCTACAATCAATGACCATATTCTTGGGTAAGGATAAAAAAGAAAAAAAAGAGATGCATTCTCTGTGTCTTTCTGATTTTATTGTATTTTTTTTTAAAGATTTTATTTGTTTTCAGAGAGGCAAGAAGGAAGGGGGAAAGCAAGAGAGAGAAATATCTATGTGCAAGAGATACATAGATCACTTGCCTCTCACATGCCCCCAACCCGGGAATGGCCTGCAACCCAGACATGCGCCCTGACTGGGAATTGAACCGGTAACCCTTTGGTTTGCAAACTAGCACTCAATCCACTGAACCACACCAGCCGGGGCATCATATTCTTTAACTTAATTCAGCCATGTGTTTTATTCTGTTTTGGCTCTAATTCAATACCTAGATAATTGCTGAGGTGGAGGCCCCTCAAAGGAAGACTGAAGCTTAGAAATCACAGTCAGAGGGTATTGTTACAATTCATCTGGGGAGGTTACACAGCAACACTGTTCTCCTCACCTCATAGAAAAAAAGGGGGGAAAATAAGCAAGTAGATCAAGATGGAGATTGAGTTTTGGGTGGTTAAAGACATGAAGAACCATCATATATTTAAAAATCTGAATTCAAACGTACATCTTTTTTTAATGTTTATGTTTGTCATTTCAAAAGGAAATTTAATAGTCTGAATGGCTGCTTCTGTATCACATGTACATCTTTATCTGAATATAAAAGCATTTCAGCTTTGCACAGTGGCAGTATTATAGCCAATGAGGTTTATCCAAGGTGCTATTATTGCTAAAAACCTTTCATAATTTAAGGGTTATTTCTCATAGACTCATACTGTTCACAGGTAAAACAATGCTGTAGAACAAAGGTTTTTGATAGTGTTTTCGAACATCCTCAACAGTCTAACTCTCCTGATTTTGGACAGAAGTGAATGTATACACAGGACCAATAAGGGAACAAGGCCCTCTGATTTGTGAAAGAAGTTTTGCTTGCATTTGTCTTCTCACTCCTGTGTCTCCTCTTGCTTTGTTTAAATACCCCTGAGATTATTTGGCAGTGTAAACTAAGGAGAAAGATGTGGTTGAAGGTTTTGCTACATGTACAATAAAGATTGGATCAAAGTCCTGGATGAATTCTCTGATGCAGAATGAGACTCTAGGCTGAGTCAACCTCTAAAATGACTCATTAGATGACGACTGATGTCCTGCAACAGGTTTTCCGACAGGGAAGAAAACTGGGGGGGGGGGGGGGGGGAAGAGTGCTCTTTGGTATAAATGGTCAGATTCTGGCAAAAGATTTTCCAATTGTTTACATTCAAAGTCTTTCCCCACTAGGAGTTCTTGGAAGTTGACTGAGGACTGTCCACTTGTGAACACTCTTCCCATTTCTATTCTATCTGACAGGGCTTCTCCCAAGATGAACCCTTTGATGCTGAGTGAGGGATGAGCTGCGGCTGAAGGCCTTTCCACACTCACTGCATTCATACGGCTTCTCTCCAGTGTGGATGATGGCGTGTCGAATGAGACTCGTGCTCCAGCAGAAGGTTTTCCCGCACTCCATGCACTCATAGGGCTTCTCTCCACTGTGAATCCGCTGGTGCCGCGTGAGGCCTGACCTGCGGTTAAAGGCCTTCCCACACTCACCGCACTCATAGGGCTTCTCTCCGGCGTGGATGCTGATGTGTCTAATGAGATCTTTCCTAGTGCTGAAGGCTTTCTCACATTCTTTACACTCAAAAGGTTTCTCTCCAATGTGGGCCCTCTTATGTAAGATAAAAGTATAGCAGTAGGTGAAGGCCTTACCACATTCAGTGCACACAAAAGGCTTCTCCCCGGTGTGGACGATGGAGTGTCGAATGAGGTTTGCCCTCTGGCAAAAGGTTTTCCCGCATTCCATGCACTCAAAAGGTTTCTCTCCACTGTGAATCCGCTGGTGTCTCGTGAGGTATGACCTGCGGTTAAAGGCCTTCCCACACTCACCGCACTCATAGGGTTTCTCTTCAGTGTGGATGCTGAAGTGTCGAATGAGGTCTGACCGATTGCTGAAGGCTTTCCCACACTCTTTGCACTCATAGGGTTTCTCTCCAGTGTGGGCCCTCTTATGTAAGATAAAAGTGGAGCAGTGGGTGAAGGCCTTTCCACACTCACCACACACATATGGTTTCTCCCCAGTGTGACTCCGCTGGTGCTGCTTGAGGTGTGACCTGCGGTAGAAGGCCTTGCCACACTCGAGGCACTTGTATGGCTTCTCTCCAGTGTGGATGACGTAGTGCTGAATGAGGTCTGTGCTGTCGCAAAAGGCTTTTCCACACTCCTTGCATTCGAAGGGTCTCAGCCCACTGTGAGTCTGCTGGTGCCATGTGAGGTGTGACCTGCGATTGAAGGCCTTCCCACACTCCACACACACGAACGGCTTTTCTCCCGTGTGGATGATGTAGTGTCGAAGAAAACCAGTCTTATCACGGAAGGCTTTCCCACATTCTTTGCACACAAACGGTTTTTCCCCTGTGTGGCCCCTATTATGCAGGACCAAATTGGAGCGGTGGGTGAAGGCCTTTCCACACTCACTGCACACATAGGGCCTCTCTCCAGTGTGGATCCGCCGGTGTCTGGTGAGGTGTGACCGGCGGTTGAAGGCCTTCCCGCACTCCAGGCACTCAAAGGGCCTCTCCCCTGTGTGAATCAAGTGGTGCTGCAGGAGGTGGGTGCTCTTGCTAAAGGTTTTCCCACACTCTGTGCATCCATAGGGCTTCACTCCAGTGTGAACTTGTGTATGTAGGACCAGGAAGCATTTCTTGTTAAACATTTTCCCGCATTCCTCACATGTGTAGGGCTGTTTTCCTTCATGAATTAAGGGATCTTTCATTGATCTGTGTGAGTCTTGTTCAGACAAAGCATCTCCTGGAGACACAGGCTCCTGAATGGTCCAGAATTGCACACCACCACCTCTTCCTAAACTGTCATGTTCAGGGCTCAGTTTCCCAGGAAGCTTCTCCCTCAGGGGATCTGTCCCTGGTCTCAGGTGGCCTTCCTGAACTTCTGATGGTCCATCTCGGTCTTTGCTTTGCCCCACATGGGCACCCCCTGAATCTCGCTGAGTCAGTTGCTTTTGGGGTGAGATGTTCTCAGACAAGGCCCGGTTGCAAGGGCGGGAGTCTGTGGTCTTGGGTTTTGTGATGTCACCTGAGGGAATTCGGAATTCAATACACAAAAGGACTTGTTAGTGATGGAAATGCAGAAGAAACAAAATCACCATTTCAGTGAGAGCAAGGAGATGAAAATGGTTGTCTGAAGCTGCTGTGTATTCAGATCTGAAATTCAGGTTTGCAATTCTTTTTTTTTTGTTCTTAGACTCTGGAAACCTTTACAGGGGAGACCCAGAGGGAAAAGACAGATGGGGGACAGAGGGTCTGGAGACCAGGGGCAGGTGCAGACTAATGAAGGCACATTGCATATGGTGAGCTTGATGAAAGCAAGAACATCTCAAGGTGCTACAAGGGTCCAGTGACAGGGCGCCTGTATAGCCAAGATAGGAATAAGGAAGGCCAGGGAGCCTTCCTAGACGGCATATGTGCCTTGAGTTGAGTCCTATGAGAGTGGTAGAAGTGGCCATATAGAGAAAGTGGGAAGCCCACCTCAGCCTAAGGACACTGAATGAACAAAAACACAGTCTTCCCAGAATCAGGGAACAACAGTGCCTAAGAGGATGGGGTTGGTGAGACTGGAGCCCCCTCACAGGATTAGTGTCTGTACAAGCAGAGTTACAGGACAGCTTGCTTCTTCTCTCTGCCACGTGAGGAGAGAACAAGAAAACGACCACCTGCAACCAGGAAGCAGGCCCCCACCAGGTCTGCCTGCACCTTATCTTGGACTTTCCAGCCTCCAGAACTGTCTGTAGGATTCTTGTTATAACAGCTCAGACTAAGACAGCAGGGTTATGAGCAATGTTCCCACTATTGAGTTTGGCAACATTAACTGTATTATTTTAAAAAAGAAATGAATCAGAAAATAAACAATTTAATTAATAGACCAATCAGTCAAGGTCTTTCATGAATCACGATGACAATGTGTCATAAACCAAGGTTTATGATTCCTTGAGCTCTAAACCTGAGTTCCACTCAACAAAAGTTGGAGGTCACATGGCTATTGTGGTTAAGATCATGGTCTCGGACCAAAAAATCCCTAGGCTCAAGTTCTAGAACTCAGTATTAGTTTTGTGATGCTTTCATTTTCTCTTCTAAATAATAGAGCTAAAAATAGAGCCCGCCTTGTAGAACTGTGGGCTGGAGGAGATAAAACAATGCATGTACCATGCTTGGTATGGTGACAGACACTGAGCAAAGGAAAACATCAATGTGCATTAGCTTTGATTTTTTTATTATGGGTTAGTCACATAATGTACTTTTGGACCTAGCTGGAAAACATGTAAGAATGCATGAACTAATGTTGGAGAGTATTAACGGCAGAAAGAATGGGCCATGAGATGTTTGATGAGCCAATGTTAAGAGCAGCGACCAGAATTAGAGGAGAATAAAAGTCCAGTGTTGAACATGGGCAGAGACTCCAAGGGGTCCAAACGCTCGAGCATGGTACAGCCTGGAAGTCTGTGCAGCACTGCAAGCTCCCAGGGCATGGCGGCTACCAGGGTAGGCGCTGGAGCCAGAACACCTCAGCTCTAATTCTGCCTGCACAGAGTCAGTTGACACCGGACGGATTCTTTAGCTGATCCTGTCCCAACTTCCTTTCCTAGAAGACAGGAGACTCTCCATCTCTGTTTCCTGGGCTGCCATGAGGGTTGAGTGAGAAAATGCCAGTAAGCACTCAGCACAGTGCCAGATGTTGCAGCAGCTCGGTAAACTATGGGCCAGGCTGTATCTGAGAATTAGGAGCAGAGCAGGGACTGTGCAAGGAGCAGCTTCCAAGCTGTGGTTGGTGCAGAGGAACCTCCCTTGGGGCCACAAAGACCAGAGGTAACGACTTTACCAAGGGCTGGAGAGGACGGGGAGCGATGGATGCTCTTATCTGCGAGTCATGGAAATATATGAGCGGGGCAGCCTCTTTGCCCAACAATCTGGGAGTTTCTATGAAAGCTGAATGCACCTCGACCTTGTAACCTGTACCCCTCATAGAAATCAGTGCTTACACACACCAAAAAACATGACAAGAATATTCTCTGGCCCTGGCCGGTGTGGCTTCCTTGGATGGAGCATTGTCCTGTAAACTGAAAAGTCACAGGTTCCATTCCTGGTCAGGGCATATGCCTGGGTTGCGGGTTTGGTCCCCGGTCGTGGTGTGTGAGACAGGCAACCGATAGATGTGTCTCTCTCACATCAACGTTTCTCTCCCTCTAGGCAGGGGTTACTCAGAGTAGGGGCTATGGAGGTCGTGGGCCCAATGAGGTGCTGGAGATACTCTATCGATCTAGGTGGTGGTTACGAGGATTTATACATATGCAAAAGTTTATCACGTAGGCATCTACAGATTTTTACACAATGCTGCATAGGAGTTAAACCTCCTTTAAAAAGTCAAAGAAATCACTCTGGCTGGTGTGGCCCAGTGGATTAAGTGCCAACCTGCAAACCAAAGAGTTGCTGGTTCAGTTCTGAGTCCCTCTACATGCCTAGGTTGTGGGCCAGGTCCTCAGTAGGGGGCGCATGAGAGGCAACCACACATTGACGTTTCTCTCCTTCTCTTTCTGATTCCTTTCCCCTCTCTCTAAAAATAAATAAAATCTTTTTTAAAAGAAGCACTAGAAATCATAGTAAGAGGGAGGCATGACATGTAAATATAGACATCTCTTATAAGAACAGACAACTTCTGCAAGAAGAGCAATTGTGCAGGGAAAGGAGAGTGGATACAGGTATTAAGACATTAGGGAGGCATCGGCTTTCCCCAAACATAAGGCCCTGAGTGTATTTTTATGCTGCATAGAGAATGGATAAAACTACAGAAGAGGCAGAAAAGAACTGAAGAAGCTTCCCCAAGAAGGTGCGATCTAGACTCTAGTGTAGGAATTGGCTGTGATTGGGGTGAGACCTCCTCCGGCAGGTAAGAAGGGAAGCTACACAGAGGAGACATTTATGTTTAGAAGCAACACAAGATGAAGACTTTATTTTATTTTCTTCTTCTTTTTTAAAAAGATTTTATTTATTCATGTGTAGAGAGGGTGGAAGGGAGGGAAAAAGAGAGGGAGAGAAACATCAGTGTGTGAGAGAAACATCGACCGGTTGCCTCTTACATGCCCCCAACCAGGGACCTGGCCTGCAACCCAGGCCTGTGCCCTGACTAGGAATCAAACTGGTGACCTTTCAGTTCACAGGTCAGCACTCAACCCACTGAGCCACACCAGCCAGGGCAAGACTCTATTTTTGACATGAAACTGCTGAGACAGCAGTGGCACGATGAGATCACACAACCTCCCTGGGGCCACAAGGCTGCTGTGTGTCACAGCTCGCTTTATGCCAGGCAGCTGGAGTTGAGAACTCAAAGGTACCTGATACACCCCAGGAGTGGTGAAGAGTGTGACCGGGCTGGAAAAGTGAAGACAGAAGGACCACAGGTTAAAAGGTTCCATGGATCCCACCCTGGCTGGTATGGCTCAGTGGATTGAGCACCAGTCTGTGAACCAAACGGTCACCAGTTTGATTCCCAGTGTAGGGCACATATCTGGGTTATAGGCCAGGTCCCCAGGAGGGGGCGCGCAAGATGCAACCACACATTGATGTTTCTCTCTTTCTCCTTTCCCTTCTCTAAAAATAAATAAATAAAATCTTAAAAAAAAAGTTCCATGGATTCCAAGCCTCCACAGAGGCCACAAGAGAGTCTCCACAAAGGGAGAGGCAGTGGTCACTTCACTGTTTGCAGAGTGACCCCTGACCTGGCCAGCTGTTGGCACCTACCTCGGCAGGAGCTTGGGGAGAGTCCTCTCTTCAATGTCTGTAAGTCCAGGCTGTGTTCCAATGGGCAGATAAGTTCCAGTTTAGGTAAAGGACAGCCTGTTCACGGGAAAGAAAGAATAAATGGGGTGAGAATAAAGAAAACCTCTCAGTCTAGTCTGAGACTTCAGGGTAAGGAGATCTTGGAACGAAGCCACTCCCATCTATGCAAACAAAATGCTTTGGCCTGGAAACCAACTGCAGAAGCGCCACTGCTGGGGCCCACACGCTACAGACATCGGTGCTGGCTGATTCCTATCCTATGTCTGCACAGCACCCCCACACGATTCAGACCTATTTCCTGAAGATGCTTTTTAGTTAATTCAAGCCAGGGACCTCGACCTCCCTGTGCATCAGCATCCTCGGGGGCACCACACAGAGCAATTCATACAAAATCTCGCCCTGGTTAGTGTGGCTCAGTGGACTGAGTGCCGGCCTATGAACTGAAAGCTCGCCAGGTCGATTCTCTGAAGCTCTCGTTTGAAGTGTCTCACAACTCCTGTGAGGGAACCAGCCTGAGCATCAGGACAGAGGACAGAAAGGTAAAATAAAAATGTTCACCTATCTTAACTGACCTAGCAGAACAGTCTGTTCAAAACAGTAGCAACAATGTATTGGATTATGTGTCCATCCTTATGTATATATGTAGCACACGCACGTGCGCGCGTGTGTGTGTATGTTGAAATATAAGTAAAATAAATAACAGCAAAAAATGCAAAAAACAGGAGGGAGGAATTAGGATTTTTTTCAAAAGATTTTACTTATTTTTACAGAGAGGGGAAATGAAGGAGAAAGAGAGGGAGAGAAACATCGATGTGAGAGAGAATCATTGATCAGTTGTCTCTCATATGCACCCTGACAGGGGACTGAACCTGCAACCCAGGCATGTGCCCTAACTGGGAATCAAACTGGTAACCCTTCACGTTGGAGGATGATGCCCAACCAACTGAGCCACAGCGGTCAGGGAGGAATTAGGATTATTTTTGTTATAAGGTTTCAAGCTACCTGTGAAGTGGTATACTGTTATTTGAAAGTGGACTTAAGATTAGTTAAATGCATATTACAAACTCTAGGGCAACTACTAAAAAAAGTAAAAAAAAAAAAAAGAAAGAATAAATCATGTACTAGGAAAGAAGAGAAAATGGAACAACACAAAATACTCAACTGAAACCACAAAAGGCAGAAAAAGAGTGGATGAGAAAAACAGGAACAAAGAACACAGTCAACAAATAGAAAACAGTAACAAATATGATAGATATTAATTCAACTGTCAATAACTACTTGGAACATCAAAGGTCTAAATGCTCCAATCACAAAACAGGACCCAACTGAATGTTTTCTACCTGAAACCCAATGTAAATATAAAGACACATATAGATTAAAAGTAAATGGATGGAGCCCTGGCTGGTGTGGCTCAGTGGACTGAGCACCGGCCTGCGAACCAAAGGGTTACTGGTTTGATTCCCAGTTCAGGGCACATGCCTGGAATTGCAGGCCAGGTCCCCAGCAGGGGGCGTGCAAAATGCAACTATACATTGATGTTTCTCTCCCTCCCCATCCCTAAAAATAAATAAATAAAATCTTAAAAAAAAAAAAGTAAATGGATGGAGAATATACCATATTAATACTAATCAAAAGAATGCAGTAGTAGCTGTATTAACTTCAGAGAGAGCAGACTTAAAACAAGGAAGGCGATGAGAGAAAAAGAAGAGCATTATATAATGACAATGGGGTCCATTTTCCAAAGGACAAAAACATCCTTAATGTGTATGTGCCTAAAAACTAATCCCATTATCAAATTATATGAGTCAAAAACTAATAGAATAACAAGGAGAAACAAATGAGTCCACACACCACAACTGTAGACCACAGTACTTGTCAGAAATGAACAGCTACAACAGACATAAAACTGGTAATGACATAGTTGAAATCAATACCATCAATTAATTGGATATAATTGACACCTACAGACTACTTCATCCAAGAACAGAATATACATTCTTCTCAAGCTCACATGGAATATTTACCATGACAGATCATATTCTGGGTTATAAAATACACCTTAACAGATTTTAAAAAGAACAGAAATCATACAATACCTGCTCTCAGACCAGAAAGTAATCAATTAGAAATCAGTAGCAAAAAGATAACTTGAAATTCCCCAAACACATGGAAATTAAGCAACATGCTTCTAAATAACAAATGAGTATAAGAAGCAATCACAAGAGTGTAAAAAATATTTTGAACTAAATGAAAATATACCTAACCAAAATTTTTGAGATGCAGTGAAATCAATGTTTAGAGGAAAATTTATAGCACTGAATGCACATTTTTTAAAAAGGAAGAAAAGTCTGAAGTCAATTATATAAGTTTCTACTTTAGAAAAACAGGAACAAATTAAATCCAAAGTAAATAGTACAAAAAAGTAATAATTAGAGTAGAAATCAATGAAAACAGGAAATCAATAGGGAAAAATCAATGGAACCAGAAGCCGGTTCTCTGCAAAGATCAATAGTATTAGTAAGCTTATAGAGAGAATAAGGAAAAAAGAAAGGGAACACAAGTTACTAGTATCAGAAATGAAAGAGGGGGTATCACTACAGGTCCTATGGGCACTAAAGGATAGTGAAAGAATACTATTAACAACTCTATGCTTACAAATTTGATAACCAAGATGAAATGAAAGCCATTACGTGAATGACACAACCTGCTAAAACTCACACATAAGAAATAAACAATCTGAACAGGGATTCTATTAAGGAAATGGAATTAATGATTGAAACCTTCCAAAAGAAAAAGCACCAGGCCCAGATGAGTTCACTGGTGAATTCTACAAGAGACTAAAGAAAGAAACTATACCAATTCCTTGAATCTCTTCCAGAGATAGAAGCAGAGGGGATTTTTTCTTACTCAATCTAGGAGGCCAGCATTACCCTAATACCAAAACCAGATAAAGACATTCAAGAAAACTACAATATCTCTCATGAACATAGGTACAAAAAAATCCTCCACAAAATATAAGCAATTCAAACCCAACAATATATAAAAACATTATATGCCACAACCAAGTGGGATTTACCCCAGGTATACAAACATGGTTTGACATTTGAAAAATCAGTTAACGTAATCCATTACATAAACAGACTAAAAAAAGAAAAATCATATAAACATATCAATAGATACAGAAAAGCATTTGATAAAATCCAACATCCATTCAATTAAAAAAAAAAAGAAACTCATCACACTAGGAATAGAGGGGAAATACATCAAACTGATAAAGAACACCTACAAAAACCCCTATAGCTAGAATCCTACTTAAAAGGTGAGAAACCTGGAGCTGTCCCATTAAGATCTGGAAAAAGGCAAGGATGTCCTCTATCACCAGTTTTCAACATCGTACTGAAAGTACGAGCTAATGCAATAACACAGGAGCATGAAATAAAAGGTATTCAGATTGGAAAGAAATAAAACTGTCTTTATTGGCAGATGACAAGATCTCCTACATAGAAAATTCAAAATAAACAGAAGACTTCTAGAACAAATAAGCAATCATAGCAAGGTTGCGGGATATAAGATTAATGTACAAAAGTCAACTGCTGGAATGACACAGAGAAGATTGGCATGGTCCCTGTGCAAGGATGACACACAAATTCATGAAGTATTCCATATATTTTTAAAAGATTTTATTTATTTATTTTTAGACAGAGGGGAAGGGAGGGAAAAAAGAGAGGGAGAGAAACATAAATGTGTGGCTGCCTCTCACACACTCCATATTGGGGGCCTGGCCTGCAACTCAGGCATGTGCCCTGACTGGGAATCAAACCAGCGACCCTTTGGTTCGCAGGCCAGCGCTCAATCCACGAAGCCACACCAGCCAGGGGCCATATTTTTTTTTAAGTCAATTGCTTTCCTATCTACCAGTAATAATTAAGTAGAATTTAAAATTAAAAACACATTACCAGGCACCTAAAAACCTGCACATGGATATTTATAGCAGCTTTACTCATAACTGCTGAAAATTGGAAGCAATAGAGATGTTCTTCAGTAGGTAAATGGATAAACTATAGTACATCCATACAATGGAATATTACTCAAAGCTAAAAAACAAACAAACGAGCTATCAAGCCATGAAAACACATGGAAGACCTTTAAATACACATTACTTAGTGAAAGAAGCCAATCTGAAACTATATTACAGTCTGGAAAACACACATGGAGTCAGTAAAAAGATCACTGGTTGCCAGGTGTTGATGGAGGGACAAGTATGAATACACAGGGCAAACAGGATGTTTTGGGCAGCAAAAATACTCAGTATGATATTACAAGGATGGATACATGTCATTCATTATACATTTGTCCAAATTCATAGAATGTACAATAGCAAGAGTGAACCCTAATGTAAACTATGGACTTTGGGTGATTATGATGTCCGTGTAGATTCATCAGTTTTAACAAATGTCCTGCTCTGGTGGGAATGTTGATAGTAGGGGAGGCTGTGCAAGTGTGGAGGCAGAGGGTTTATGAAAAATCTCTACACCTTTCTTTCAATTTTAATGTTAGCCTAAAACAGTTGTAAAAACAGCCTTTAAAAATAACTACTATGGCCCTGGCTGGTGTGGCTCAGTGGACTGAGCGCTGGCCTGCGAACCAAAGGGTCGCTGGTTCGACTCCCAGTCAGGGCACAGGCCTGGGTTGCAGGCCAGGTCCCCAGTAGGGGGCGCACGAGAGGCAACCACACATTGATGGTTCTCTCCCTCTCTTTCTCCCACCCTTCCCCTCTGTCTAAAAATAAATAACAACTTTAAAAAAGAAAAGTTCCATTTAATGATTTCTGTACAGCAGCCACATGAATTACATACTGTGCTCAGCACCATTTTATACATGAAGAAACCAAGACTCAGGCAGATAAAGTGATTTGTTGAAATAATGAAATGATAAATGGCTGAGCCGAGATGGAAACCAGGGTCCAGCCATCTCTAGCATCTGGCCTGCTTAACTACAAGGCTACACAGCATTGTTCTAGAAATGCTGAACCCACGTGTGAGGATGATGACCATGACAATGAGGACAAGGATGAGATCGTTAAGAGTAGTGAGCAGCAGGGGTCACCAGCTGCTAACCCTGCACACAGCAAGGTATCACCAAGTATTATTGTTCTAAGACATTGACCTCCACAACAGTCCTGTGAGGTAGATACTGTGTTACCTCGTTTTACCTATGAGATAACTGAGCCCCATTTGGGTTCAGTATCTTGCCCAGGAAGACAGAGCTCAAAAGTAGCTGAGGAGGACTGGACACCAAGGGTCAGGCATCAGACCCTCATCTTCAAGGTGCTACACTAAGGAGGAAATGGGGAGCACCCCTGCACGGCAACAGCAGGCTCAGACCGAGCAGGCTGTGGTGATGAGAGGGGAGCGTGAGCAAAAGATTTCAACTCTCAGGGAACTGGGGCTGGAGGAAGGGCAGACTTGGGGAGGCCATACTTCAGCATTTCATGAACCCCTAAAAATAAAAACTGGGGCTCTGGCGAAGTGGCTCAGTTAGTTGGAGCATTATCCCATGCACCAAAAGGTTAGGTTGTAGGTTCAATCCCCGGTCAGGGCACAAATGGGACGTAACTGATCAATGTTTCTCTCTCACATCAATGTTCCTCTCCCTCCATCCCTTCGTCCCTCCCTCCCTCTCTAAAATCAGTGGGTATATCCTCGGGTGAGGATGAAAAATACATATATACATACACAAAGAAATAATAAAATAAATAAATAAATAAAAATTGGGAATTCCATACAGTGATTTGGTCAAATTGCAACAGTTGAACAAACATCAAATATCTATTATCAACTTTCACACACAATAAAAGGGTGTACTATCAAAAAATACAGCTTTTCACAGTAAAGAGGTACTTTTTTTTTAGCTTTTTTTTTTTTTAAGATTTTATTTATTTACTTTAGAGAGAGAGGGAGGGAAGGAGAAAAAGAGGGAGAGAAACATCAATGTATGGTTGCCCCTCATGTATCCCCCACCGGGGACCTGACCTACAACCCAGGCCTGTGCCCTGACTGGGAATTGAACCAGTGACCCTTTGGTCAGCAGGCTGGCACTCAATCCATTGAGCCACACCAGCCAGGGCTATACCTTCTGAATTGAATGGATTAAGCTTTATGGGAGACTCACTGCAATGGCCCTACTTTCCTTACTTGCTGAGGACAGCATGCTGGGAGGATTAAATGAGTGGACAGAAACAATAAAAACATACAGAAAGAAGTAGAGATGAGAAATGTGTCTGGGTGACCACTCCCTCTACAAAACAGCTGTGGCAGAAAAAGCCATTGTGAAGACAGTGACAGGAGCCGACCTACAGAGAGAAGTCAGGACGAGAGAGCCAGGAGCCAGGGCACGGCCATGACTCTCTAAGTTCCTGCGCCAGCCCCTGAAAGAACCCAGCTGGAATGCCTGCCTTTGCGTTGTGTGAGGCGCCCCCCACTTCCTCCCAACACATCCTTATCCTTTGGCTGTGACCAAAAGCAAACTGTGTTTTTTGCCCAGTATGACTGAAGCTGGGGGTGAGAGGGTAGGAAGACTACAGAGGCCTTCTTGACCAGCCAGGCCTGGAGACAGAGGACAGAATGAAGGAGGTGACAGGTCCCCTACTTGGTGGAGTTGGGGAGGACTCACCCAGAGACACCAAAAGCCTGCAGGTCTCCAGCATCACCTCCTGGTACAGGGTCCTCTGGGCTGGGTCCAGCTGCCCCCACTCCTCCTGGGTGAAGGTCACGGCCACATCATCGAAGGTCACAGACACCTAGAAAGTCAAACAGAGGCAGCAGTGTTGGTCTTGGGGCTATAGGATGGGGTCAGAAATATACCTCTCGAAGGAAAAGGTGAAGAGACCAAACACCTCCTGAGGGAAGGTCCCTGTGCTGGGCTCAGGGAGGCAGACACTGCTTTGCACTGATGACAGCAGGTAGGAGACAGAAGCCTACTACGTGGAGCCAATGGAAAGGTCACAGAGCCAGGGCCGTCCTGTGTGCGTTGTGCGGCACAGAATGGTGAGGACTCTGAGATGTCAAAGGAATGGAAATGGGTATTAATGATAATGAAAACAATACTGATAATAATTACAGAGACTGCACTTAACACTCACTGGTCCCTACTGTGTGCCTGCCTTGTGCTGAGGGTTTTCTCTGGTGTGTCAAAGTGACTGGAAGTCCCCCACTCTGAAGTTATGCTAAGATGTAAATGTAAAATCTTAAAAATCAATGCTTGCCTGCAATATGAACATGGAGACCCCACTTCATTTCTTGGAATTTCAATTTCTGAATCAATACAATAATTCTCACTCAGCAATGTTATAAGAATTAAAACATAGTCCTGGTTGGTGTGGCTCAGTGGATTGAGTGCTGGCCTGCGAACCGAACGGTCTCCAGTTCACTTCCCACTCAGGGCACATGCCGGGCTTGCAGGACAGGGCATGTGAGAGGCAAAAGATTGACGTGTCTCTCGCACATCTATGTTTCTCTCCCTCTCTTTTGCCCTCCCTTTGAAAATAAATAAAATCTTTAAAAAAAAGAAAAAAATATATATATATTTGTAACAGAAACGCGGGGTCCACAGCCCGTGAAGTCAACGCTGTCACTGTCTTTGTGCTGATCAGAGACCTGCAGCCCAGGGAGCTCTACCAGTTCACCCAAAGTTTACATGTGTCATGAGCAGAGGCAGAATTTGAACCTATGTCTTTCTAGTCTAGAGTCTAATGGCATAACCCTGGCATTCCTCCATTACCGAAGCAAAACCACAGTTGATGAAGATGGGAAGCACTTCAAATAAATTTCTCAGTTCTCCTCATCTCACCCACCATGAAAAATATCTCTGTTGACATGGGCAGAAGAGCAGACTCATGACCAACGACCCACCTCGTGGGAGAGTTACCTGAGGAGGTGGCACCTGCTTGGGAAGTGGCAGGAAGAGCCTCCCCCCCCCATTATGCACCTTGCAGAACCCCAGGGAGCATCCTCCACGAGCCATCATTTCTTTATGCTACCTGAGTCCTGACAGCTTGTACCCATGAGGAAAGAATACTTCAGGACCAGGGACAGGAGCTGCTGAGGACAACGCAGGCTGTGCACTGAAGCCATGACACCAGAAAAGGATGATGTCTACCCTGGCTGAGGATGGAACATTAAGCAAATGACCACACAGTCTGGCCCTCGCAGGACATGCCCAAGCGGACGGTGAAGAGGAGAGCACGGGGGGACCGTAGCCATCCTCACAGGTCCTCTGGGGACCCCCTAAACCACCAACATGCCTGTCTGTCTGCCCACTTCCCCCTGCAGAAATGCCATGTCCCCCATTCATGCTCAAGAGCACCTATGGGAAGGAATCTGGCTTGGTTTGCAAAATTTAATTCACGTGTCCCCCACAGGGCTCCCTATACAGTGTTCCTAGAGAAGAGGCTAAACATACAGGCTGCCGCAGTCCCGTACGGGTTGGTCGTTTCTGCCCCTTAAGGACTACAGTGAGTTTGGGCCTCGGGTGGTTCTTGTCCGAAGCAGTGATAACAACAGAACTCCGCTCCGAGGAACTGGAGATTAAATGGGACCGTATGTGACGCCTGCCGCTCAGCCCAAGGACTCCACGCTTTTTGGCTGTTTTCTCTTTGCTCCCGCAACACTCTAACCAACTGAGAGCAACCTGGTCAGAAGGATCCTTCTCAAAATAGGTGACATCTGGGCAGAGGCCAGAAGAATGCGACAGGAAGGACCTGCAGAGACATAGGGACAGTCTCCAGGCAAAGGCCAGTGCAAGGACAAAGGCTGGGGATGGAAAACAACGGGGCACGGTCAGGCTGCTGGGCCTGCCGTGACCCAGGGGGGGAGACCGGAAGGTCAGAGGTCGGCCGGGGACAGGGTACGGACCTGCAGATCGCGGTGGCGCCAGGATTTACAGGTGTGACGGGAGCCCTGGGGAGGAAGCATGATTTATGCTTTGCGCAGACTGAACACGTGTCACAAATGCGACACTGTTGTAAACAAATGAAAAGGACAAAGAGGAATCCGATGGCTGATTGGGGCTCCGCCCTGCCCAGGAGCCCTTTGCGAACCAGCAACGCCCAAACCCTCGCCCACGCACCTGAGCGGGGTCTACGCACGCAGCGGCCATGACGGGACTCTGTGGACAAAGCGAGATCCGGAGAGGCAGTGACCGAGGTAGGTCCCACCGCCTCAGGCGACCAGCAAGAGCGGGTGACCGTGGCTGACGGTCGCACTCCAAGCTCAGTTTCCCCGTGTAAGACGCACACGAGGCCCAAGGCATCGCTTCAGGGTTGCGGGGACCGAGGTTGGGGCCCCGGCGGGCGGTCACGGGACGGGCCTTCCCGGTTCCGGCCCAGGAAACCCACTGAACCCATCGCTCCAGATCCCACAGCAGGGGGAGAGCGACTGGCCACAGGCAGATGACGGTTATCGGGGGACCGGAAGTCCCGCCCACACCGGCGTCGTCCGCCGGAAACGGTCCTGTCTTCAGCCAAGATTGGCCCAGCGCGCGCTCCGACAAGCACCGCGGTGCCTCAAGAGTGTAATTTTGAGCTACAGACAACCGGATGTGTGGGACTGTCCAAGCCTGTCTTCTCCCGCGAAGCCTGGAACGCGGAGTCGGACCCACCTCTTCACTGTGGGCACAACTGGGGGTACAAAGGGCAAGGCAGTCCAGGCTCAGGAGGCAAAGACCTTCGCCAGGAGCCAAGGCGAGTGCACCGGCTCGGGATCAACTCTGGGTTCCTGATCCTGCTGGAGGGAGCGTAACCGACAAAAGAACGCCGGAAGTCCCGCCCTGACACTTTAACAAAAGAACGCCGGAAGTCCCGCCCTGACGCTTTAACAAAAGAACGCCGGAAGTCCCGCCCTGACACTACCAAACGGGGGGACCTTAAACTTTTGACCCAGAACCTGTATTGGATTTGTCCACTAGAAAGGCAAGGCAGGGACACAGTTTAGGACTGGCTAGTTGAATACTGTCGCCGACTTTGGGGAATAGGGCCTTACGTATCTGTCTGGTACCAGGCCCTGGGAGGACCAGGACAGAACAATATTGTCTCTTGAAGTGTAAAAGCCAGAACCAGAAACAGGAGGTGGTCCCAGTTAGGGATTTTGGATTGTTGAATTTACATATGAAGGACATAGTCCCTACGACTAGTTCACTATCTGTAAGAACTGGCTAGCCCTGCAAGGTGCAGTGTTCTCCCAGTGAGCAAGACCCTGAATTCAGACCATCAAGAACTAAGTAAGAAAACATAGTGTATACTGTATAACTGAAACATACGATATTGCATGTAAACCGTAATTGACTTAAAAGAAAAATATAGTTAATACACTGTGAAATGTGTAGGCTTCAAAGGGCTTTGAGTCGCGTCATGAAGTCATCTAATGTTTTAAAAAGACCACCTTGGGTGCTGCATGGAACGTAAGCCCTTGGAAGACGCAGGAGGGGGCAGGAGGGTAAGATCTGTTAGGAAGTCCTCACTGCTTTCCAGATGTGTGGTGATGCTGCCCTAAACCAATGTAGTGATAGGGGAGGTAGTTTATCACAAAGTACAAATAATAGTTGATCAAAGAACACAACTGATAATCGAATTAATACAAAAAATGCGGATATGGACGTTAATAGCTTTATAGGATAAACTGGTGGTTTCTTTAAATCTCTCCATTCCTTACACTGCCTCCTCCAAATATGAGGCATATTCCAGATAATACGATGGTGTGTCTTACGGAAATGCTTCCAGACACGGAGTTGCTTGGACAAATACGATTGCTTTGCTGTAACAAAGCCTAGGCCAAGAGCCAGGGGATTGGACGTGCACTCAAGTTATTAACTGGACAGGCTTCACTCACTCAAATGCTAAACATTCCAAGGAAAAATCGGCCTTTGACCAGCCCCAGGAAGACCACCTGAGTCCCTTAGTTGCCTGGTACATGACCCTGGATTGATTAGGGTAAAGAGAGAGTGGCTCCACCTGTGAGACTGCAAGGAGGTAAGTGAGGGCTGCAGACTCTGGATTGCTTGCTTGCGGGTAAAAGGCATGCTCACAGGGGAGTCTTTTGCTACCTCTAGCGATCATCTGGTCCTGCGTGGAGCAGTCAGTCTCCAGTATGAGCAAAGCCCCAGAGGCCAAAACAAGGCAGGGGTCAGGACGTATAACCAGGTAGTCTGACTGGAGGACACAGGCTCATCACTGCCCATTTACAATTTAACTGAGACCATTCAGTTATGAGATTTGGAACATACCCGTGAGCACACATGTATCTTTAACCCTCGAAACACAAGGATGACATCAATGAGCACTCTGGAGGCATCCTAGCTTCCCACAATGGAGAGAGGGAAGGCTGCCTATGGGCCAGAGGGTGCTGCAACCAGAGACTGGGTTCCCCTAGGTCTCCAGCACCATGATTCTGTGGAGGACCCTCCCAGCTCTCCCTCCCTCCTAGTGAAACTCACACAAATGTCCGTGAATGTGACTAAGCCTGCAACAACACACTCTTTAATCTCAAGTTATGCACATTTAATGATACAGGAATTGTTATGACCCCATATTCTTTAGTTTTTTCTTTCTTGCAAAGGCTAAAAGTTTCAACAGTGGGAACAAGGAGTAAGTTAGAAATCGTTAAAGTCTGTGCAATGGAAACATAGCATTAATGGCCAGATGGCCATTACATCTTCGTAGAAATAACGGCAAACAAAGGAGATATTTGCAAGTCAAATCACTTGCAGACGTATGAGAAACAAGGTCCTTTCTCACCATTCTTTGTACTTTGTCATCACTAAATTAAATCCTAACTGCTCGGTAAGAATTTCCACTGTGACTTGATTGTTTTAGCTACAACGGTTTACGTGTATATGATATGAGCCTTTGCTGCAAAGCTATGACTTTTTTTGTTGTAGTAAACTGTATTTAGTATTTGTTAGACATTTGAACTTAATATTTTAATACCATTCTAGTCACTGTAAAGAGTTAACATAGCAGACCTTAGAGTGTTATCCTTTGAGTTTCAAAGTTTGCCCTGGGTGGAGTTTGGGAACTTAGATTTCCCACCATTCCCAGAAAGGATGAATGGCTCAGTGTGCCTACTGTTTGTGTAAACAATGTGGTGTATGCTGGGGACCTGCTATTTTCTGGAGGTCTAAAATCCTGGCTACGTGTTTAACAAAAAGTGCCCAATAAAATCCCAGGGCACTGAGTTTCTAATAGCTTCCCTAGTAGTCATTTCACACTTACTGTCAATTTATTGATGAAGCTTACATTAAGTACTCTGAACTGCTAAATCTTGTCCATCATGTCCTCTGGACTTCAGTCCTTGAGGCTTTTCCCTTGGCTAAGTTTGCTTTGTATTCTTTTGCTGTAATAAATCATAGCCATTAAGATAATATGTTGAGTCCTTAGAGTCTCTGTAGTAAATCATCAAACCTGGGGGTCTTGAGGCCATCCAACACAATTCTTCATTATGACTTTTAAAGTCTTAGAGATATGGCCATAAAAGCCTATGTAGTTTCTCTTTGAGGTCATCATAGGTCATCATATAGTGTGCTGACTATACACACAGCTTTGTATAAGCACTCTGTGAGGAACCCAAACATTACAATAAAAACATAGTGCTGTGTGTGGCCATTCGCTAAAATGCACATATTGAGTGTCTACTAAGGAAAATAAAAGGGTAAAATGAACAAAATGAGACACTGGCTGGATGCAGGGTGATGAGAAAAAAGGACTGTGAGGTGTCTGGCTTGGACAAGACAGAAGATAACAGGATTCACTGAGATGGTATTCAGGTACCTCAAACATAACATCTAAAACCAAACACGTGCCTTGGCCCTTCCCTACCTTCCCCCAACCTTAAGCCCAGATATCTGTATTTCCTACAGAGGTACAACAGATTATACAGTCCTTAAAGAATGAGTTTGGTTGACCTTGCTCAACATGAAGGATGGCCAAGATGTACTGTCAAATGAGAAAAGGAGGTTACAGCTAACGAGCATTATTTTATCCGTTTCGGTAGAAATGAATGGTGACCAGGAAAACAAAGACTCACCCTGTGAGAAGGACTACAAGACAAGTGATAAGGGCATGGATTCTGTGGCTAACTCACTTCCCATCCCTATCTCATGCTTCCTCATCAATTACAGAACTTGGGGCAAATTCCTCAACTTTTCTGTTCCTTAAGTTTTCTCCTCTGTAAAACGGACACATTACCTACCACATAGACTTGTTGACGTTGTTAAAAGGTGACGTGTGTAAAACATTCAGAGCAGTGGCTGATACAAAGTAATGCCATGCTTGTTTTCTTTTTAGGATTATGATGATGTTCCCAGCACCACTGCCACCTGACAACATGCATAAACTCAGTTTATGTGAATATGGAGAAGGTGTGGAAGGATGACCAGGAGGTAAGAGACATGAGAAACATTCAACCTGGAAATATGGATTTGGGGGAAGTGTGGATTATTGTGAGTAGAGTACTTTGAGGGAATTAACGCATCTGTGGAACACATCACAAATGAGAAAGCAATGACCACAGATGAGTCCTTGGCAGCACGAAGGTTCAATAGATGGAAGACACAGATCCTCTGAAAGTGAAGGGAAGGAACTCACAGAAAACAGGTTTTAAGAACCTTTAAGTCAGAGGAGGGTGGCAGTAAAAAGGTCCAACAATGGAGGTAGGGAGTGGGGGAGGGAAAGGGGCAAAAGAGAACTTTGTGAGAACTGCTTAAGTCAGGTGACAGTGGTAAAAGCCATTCTTTAGTTGTCAATGGAGGGAAAGGGACAGAAGTAGATACAACAGTAACACATGTGTCTGTGAGAGGAAAGAGAAGGGCAGAGCTCAATGGGCATGTGTGGCAGACAGCACCTGGAGGTGAAACTAGAAACTTGAACACAGGTATTGATTATGAGAAGGGAATTAAAAGGGAAAAGTCAGAGAACAAGCAGTGGGGGCATAAAACAAAGAGTGATCCTAGACACTGGGGAGTGGGGGTATGTGTTCAGCCCCAAAGAGGAGACTAATCCTGGAAGAGGACTGACCTCTTCTCCTGTGAGGCAGTAACAGCATTTAGAGAGCTAGGGAATTTTACACAGAAACCTTCCCTGGAGAACACAACTCTGGACAACATGCACATCTCCCCCCCGTGATAATATTTGTTCTTAGAAGTATTTGTGGATACTGACATAGGAGACTATAGGTCTTCCATTCCTCCAGAGAACCATGACTTTAGACTACTATGGTTTTGCCTGTTTTCTCTGAGTCCTTCCTTGGCATTAAAGTAGGCAAAAAAAACAGATGTATAAAAGAACCCAAGGGAGCCCTAACTGGTGTGGCTCAATGGATTGAGCGCCGGCCTGTGAACCAAAGCGTCGCTGGTTCAATTCCCAGTGTAGGGCACATGCCTAAGTTGTAGGCCAGGTCCCCAAGAGGGGGTGCGTGAGGTGCAACGACACACTGATGTTTCTCTCCCTTTCCTCCCTCCCCTCCCTCATCTAAAAAATATTAAATAAAAAAAAAAGACCTTAAAAAAAAAAAAAAAACCCAAGGGAAATTAAACAATTGAAAATTTCAAAAGCCAAACTGCAAACTTACTGAGCCATTTCAACAGATTAGATATGAGAGAGAAACCAGTGAACTCACAGAAAGACAAAATGAAATTATTTAGTCTGTGTAATAGGAAAAATAGACTGGAGGGAAAATACAGATGGGGAGCCTGACAGACCTGAGGAACAAAAACAAGAGATCTACCTCATGTTACTAAAGTCCCTAAAAGGGAGGAGAAAGTGTGGGGCTGAAAAATCTATTTCAAGAATAATTTTAAGAAGTTCTGAAATTTGGCAAAGGGCCTAAACCAACAGATTCAAAAGCTGAACAAACACCAAACAGGATAACTCCCTTCCAAATTTCATGCCAGGTTACACCCTAATCAAACTTCTGAATCCCATATCCAAAGAAAACAATACTCTGATAGCAGCTTGACAGAAAGGATGCACCAGATAGGAAACAATGGTTCAAATGGCAGCAGATTTCTCGTATGAAACCCAGGAAGGCTAATCTTGAATCCTATATCCCACAAAAATATCCTTTAAGAATGAAGGGGACATTGAAAAAAAACAAAAACCAAAGGGACATAAAGACATTTTTAAATGAGAAACAAAACCATTTGTTACCAGAAAGACCTACCCTCGAAGAGTATAGGAGTTAGTGAAAAAGAAAGGAAATGTTAATGGAAGAAATCTTGGGATTTTAGGAAGAACGAACAATGGAATGTGTAACAGTAAAGGTGAACAGACTATGCTCCTCGTGAGTTTTGTAAAAACTCTTCAAAAGGTGAACCAAAAAAAAGAGAAAAAAATCACCCAATACAGTGCACAGTGTATGAACAGAAAATACTTAATTATATTAAAGAATGGGGAATGTAAAGGGTCCCAATGAAAGTAAGGTTTCTAAGTGCTAAAATGTTGATGTTGTAAGTTAAGTTATGAATGTATAATACAATACCTAGAGTAATCACTAAAATACAAAGAGATATACACAAAAACGTCATATTTATATCAAATGGAATCCTAAAAACTAAAGTAACCCACAGGAAGCCAAAACAGAAACAGGGGAACAAAAACAAAAATCTTAAAATGGCAGACTTAAGCCCTAACATTATCGTAAATAGTTTTAAGTGGTCTAAATATACCCATTTAAGACCAGAAATTGGTAAAATGGATAAAAAGAAAGCATGACCCAAGTATATGCTATTCACAAAAACTTATTTCAAATGTAATGATATAGATAAGGTTGAAAATGAAATTATGGAAAAATATAAACCATGCAAACATTTACCAAGAAATTCAATAGTGACTATATTAACATTAGATAAAGTGTACTTCAAAGCAGAGAAAATTTACAGGGCAAAAAGTGACATTAAATAATGATGAAAGGGTCGATAGACCAAGATGGCATAGTGATCCTAAACGTGTATGCACCAAACAACAGAGCTTTTGAGATACATGTAGCGAAAACTGATAGAACTTAAGGGAGAAACAGATAATCCCACAATTATATGGCAGGGCTTCAACAGCCATATTTCAGCTATTGATAGAAACACAACACAGAAAATCAGCAAGGATACTGAAAATGTTGAATAACATTATCAACCAACAGCATTGTTTTGACATCTACAGAAACCCCATCCAACAACAGTAGAAAACATTTTTTTTCAAGCAGCCTTACACTAAATTCATTAGATAGACTATATCATGGATAATAAAACAAACCACAACAAATCCAAACAGCCAGCAAATGTACAACAAACGAGCACTCAATAACAAAAAGAAAACACCAAATATGCCAAACTGGTTTAGAGAGGAAGTCTTGAATGAAGAAATATTTATAACTGAATGAAATGTAATTAAAACATATCAAAACTTGTGAGATGAAGCTAAAACAGTGCCTTGAGGAACAACTATACAATTTAATGCTTACAAAAGTAAATCTCAAGTCAATAACCTAAGCACTTACCTCAAGAAACTAGAGAGGAAAATACAACCAAAGCAAGTAGAAAAAAAGAATATAGTAAAGATCAGAAAATCAGTGAAATTAGGAACAGAAAGACAATGGAGCAAAAACTGATATAAAGTGCTACTTCTTTCAAATGATCAAAGCATTGATAAATACTATCAAGACTGACAAAGATAAAAAGAAAGTTAAAACATTTCCAATATCAGGAATAAAACAGGGTGTATAAACAAATTCTGCTGCCATCAAAAGAATAATAAAGGAATACTTGAAGCAAATGAGAAAATTTAGGTGAAATGATATAATTCCTAGGAAAGAACAAACAATGAAAACTCATCCAATATGAAATAGATACTCTCAATAGTTCTATCCATATTAAATAAAATAAATACATAATTAAAAACATCCAAAAGAATACCTCCAGGACTAAATGGTTCACTGGAGAATGCTACCAAACATTAAAAGAACAAATAAAACCAATTCTACATACTGTCTTCTAAACAACAGAACAACAACTCTCAACACATGTCGGGAGAGACCAGTATCAAATAGACATCAAAACCAGACATTGACAGTACAAAACTAAACAAACACAAGAATGGAATTAAGAAAAAAACCCTAAATATTATCTTTCATGAAAATAAAGGAAAACTTCCTCAATAAAAATACTAGCATATTGAATACTGTAATATATAAAATAATTATACTCCATGACCAAGTAGGGCTTATTCCAAGGATACAAACAATATTCAAAACATCATATCAATAGGCCACAAAAAAAGGTTATATTAACTGATAGAAAAAGGATTTGAAAAAATTCAACATCATTCAAAATAACAAAAAAATTTAGAAAATTGGAATATGGGAAACCTTCTAAAATTGATAAGAAACCTTTAAGAAAACCTTAAGACTAACATATTTAATGATGAAAAACTAAATGTTTCCCCCCCTAACATCAGGAACCAGTCAGGGATATCTGTCTCATTACTATGATTCAACATTATATTGGAAATCCTAGCTAGTGCAATAAGACAAGAAAGGATATGCAGATGAGAAGAAAGAAATAAAACTATCTCTATTTGCAATTTATACTTCTATAGAAAAATCCCAAGCATTCTATCAAAATAAATGGTTATAGTTCAGCAAGTTAGTAGGATGCCTAAAATAGCATCCAAAAATCATTATATTTGTATACTACCAAAGATTTATAAAAATTGTACAAGAACAGTTATTAAAATTTATAAAACAGTAATGAAATAAACAATACTTAAATGTAGAGACATACCATCTTATATGACTGGAAGACCCAACACAATAAAGATGCCTATTCTCAACAAATTGATTTGCCAACTTAACTCAAAGTCTATCAAAATTTGATAGTTTTTTTAGTAAAAGAAAAAAAAGTCAAGCATATCTAAAAAATTCAAAGTAACTTAGAGTGATAAATAAGTTTTAAATAAAAAATATGGACAGAAGAATCACTTTACCCAATAAAAAAATTTACCATATAACTGCAGCAATCTAGTAAACCAACAGTACAGGACCAAGAAAATGTCTATTACGTCTTTAAAACCACATGAAGAAAAGGTCTGTTAAAAATCAAAGCCTTAAACAGTGTTAACTGGTGCAATAAAAATGTGACCATTCATATGTGTACTCTTATCTCCTTACATAGAAGGGTATTTGATGGTTCAAGCCTTCATATTTCTCACAAAAATTAAGCTCCTTAAGAGGAGACAATGTTTTAGAACAAAGAAGATGTTCAATGAAAGTTTCCAGACCTGCCCTCAGTTGTCAAACTCTCTGGACACTGCAGCAAAAGAATGTATGCATAAGACACATAAAGAACCTAGGTCCTTTACCTCTGGAACAAAACTCTCCTTCTGACAACCAAACTAAGAAATCATGACAAAGAGTCAAAGGTGTGGTAAGGAGTCTGAAAGAAACTGGTTTTAGTTCATTTTCTCTTCTAAGTCTCCCCCTTCTTTTTAGTGAAAAAAATTCCTGAGATAACACTGCAGTGTAAACTAAGAAGAAAGTATAGCTGAAGGTTTTCTAAGTGCCTAATAACCACTGGGTCACTCTCCTGAATGAATTCTCAGATGCTGAATAAGGCTCTAGGCAGGGTCATTTTTCAATATGACTTGTTAGATGACAACTGGTATCTTGCAATAGGTTTTTCTCACAGGGAAGAAAATTGTGGGCCTTCTCTTTGGTATGAATGATTAGATTCTGAGTAAGATGTTTCTTCTGGCAAAACATTTTCCACAGTGTTTACATTCAAAAAGTCTTTCCCCAACAGGAGTTCTTGGAGGTTGACTGAGGATTGTCCACTTGCGAAGGGTCTTCCCACTTCTGTTACACTGACAGGGTTTCTCCCAGTATGAACCCTTTGATGCTGACTGAGGGATGAGCTGCGGCTGAAGGCCTTTCCACATTCACTGCATTCATACGGCTTCTCTCCAGTGTGGATGATGGAGTGTCGAATGAGGTTGGTGCTCCAGCAGAAGGTTTTCCCGCACTCCATGCACTCATAGGGCTTCTCTCCACTGTGAATCCGCTGGTGCCGCGTGAGGCCTGACCTGCGGTTAAAGGCCTTGCCACACTCACCGCACTCATAGGGCTTCTCTCCAGTGTGGATGCTGAAGTGTCGAATGAGGTCTGCCCGATTGCTGAAGGCTTTCCCACATTCTTTACACTCAAAAGGTTTCTCTCCAGTGTGGGCCCTCTTATGTAAGATAAAAGTGGAGCAGTGGGTGAAGGCCTTTCCACACTCACCACAAACATAAGGCTTCTCGCCAGTGTGGATCCGCTGGTGCCTCTTGAGGTATGACCTGTGGTTGAAGGCCTTCCCACACTCGAGGCATTCAAAGGGCTTCTCCCCAGTGTGGATGACGTAGTGGTGAATGAGGGCTGCACTCTCACAGAACGCCTTCCCACACTCGCTGCACTCATAGGGCTTCTCCCCCGTGTGAGTCTGCTGGTGCCACATGAGGTATGACCTGTGTTTGAAGACCTTGCCACACTCGAAACACTCATAAGGATTCTCACCACTGTGGATGATGTAGTGTCGAATGAAACCTGGCCTATCTCAGAAGGCTTTTCCACATTCTTTGCAGACAAAGGGTTTTTCTCCGGTGTGGCTTCTGTTATGCAAGACAAAAGTGGAGCGGTGGGTGAAGGCCTTTCCACATTCAGTGCACTTATAGGGCTTCTCTCCACTGTGAATCCGCTGGTGTTGGGTAAGGTGTGACTTGCGGTTGAAGGCTTTGCCACACTCCATGCACTTATATGGCTTCTCCCCTGTGTGGACCATGTGGTGTTGAAGGAGGTAAGTGCTCTTACTAAAGGTTTTCCCACACTCTGTGCATTCATATGGCTTCACTCCAGAGTGAATCCTCTCATGTCGAGCAAGGAGGCGTTTCTTGTTAAAAACTTTTCCACATTCATTGCATTTAAAGATATTTTCCTCTTCCTGAATCATGGGATGTTTATCAATTTCATGTGAGTCATGGTCAAGGAGAGCACCTCCTGGAGGTACTGCCTGCTGCACAATTCTTGAACACACATCATCAGCTGTCCCTAAGCCACCACGTTCAGAGCTTGATTTCCTAGGAAGTTTCTCCTTCTGCAGGTCTGTATCTGATTTCAGCTGTCCTTCCTGCAATTCCAATGGCCCACTCTGATCCTTGGCGTGATCCACCTGGAAGTATTCTGTGCGTTCAGCTCCTTGTGTTAATTCCTGAAGTGAGGCTCCCTCAGAAATGGCAGTTTCACAAGTAGTAGGTTCTGTGGTCTTGGGTTTTCCTTCCTCATCTGAAAGAAATCCAATATACAACAGGGCCTGTTAGTAATGCCAACATCGGGGAAAAAAATCAGCATTTCCATGATTTAAAAAAAAAAAGGCAAAAGTAGTGCTTCTGTGTCTGCTATGTTTTGTTACCTCTGAATACCAGAATTACAATTCCTTTCTTTTCTAGACCTTGGATCATTGACACTTTGAAGGGAGACAGAGGGAAGTGACTGGGTTAAAAGGCAGAGTGCTGCAGAGGAGACACAGTCAATTCCAGATTGGACATTCATGCAAACAGGTAACTCACTTGGGCCCCTACACAGTTTATGCTGAAAAGATGACTATGATCAAGGCCTAGCCCACCTGAAAGACTAACTATATGATTAGAGTGTTAGGGCACTGAGCTATATGATAACTGGGCTTCTGGAAAAAAATAGAGGGAGGGTAGGAGGCTGAGTAGTCATGTAGGTATTAGTCAATCAACTGTGTTTATGAAATAAGAGTCAGTAAAACTCTGAACCCTGAAGCCAAGTGAAAATTCCAAAGTTGGAACTACTTCATGCATGTACTGTCAACATCAATGCTAAGAGTTTAATGAGTCCCTAAGGACATGGCAACTCATGTTTGGAACTCCTCCAAAAACTTGGAGAAACACCTAATGCAGACTTACTGAACAAAGTCTTTTTAAAAAAAACATTTTAAAGAAGTTCAAAGAGCCGAAGGGAGATAAGAAAGTAAAAATAATTATGTATAAACAAACTGGAAATATTAAGTGCCTAATAACCACGGGGTCACTCTCCTGGATGAATTCTCAGATGCAGAGTAAAAGGCTCTAGGCAGGGTCATTTTTCAATATGACCCATTGGATGGCAACTGGTATCTTGCAATAGGTTTTCTCACAGGGAGACACAAAGAAAGAACTGAGTAAGAAGAAGAAGATATCAGCAAACTTGAATACAGGAGAATGAAAATTATCACATCTGAGGAACATAAAAGAAAGAGATTGAAGAGCCCTGACTGGTGTGGCTCAGTGGGTTGAGTGATCCCACAAACAAGAGCTTGCAGGTTCAATTCCCAGTCAAAGCACATGCCTGGGTTGCGTGCCAGGTCCTTGGTTGGGGCTGTGTGAAAGGCCACTTATCAATGTTTCTCTCACACATTGATGTTTCTCTCCCTCCCTTCTGCTCTCACTAAAAATAAATAAATAAAATCTTTAACAATAGCCAAAACAAGAGACTGAAGAAATGTGACCAGAGCCTAACAAACCTGTGATACATCACCAAGGGAACTGATATACTCATGATGCGATTTCCAGAAGAGAGAAAGATTAAGAGAGAATACTTGAAGAAAGGGATTAAAACTTCCCAAATTTTAATAAAGGTATCAATATAAACATCCAAGAATCTCAATGAATTCCAAGAAAAATAAATTCAAATAGTCTAACTCTAAGAAAAATTATAATCACATGTTTGAATACCAAAGATAAAGAGAGTATCTTGATAGCATGCATAAAACAACTCCTCACATAGAAGGAATCTTCAATAAATTTATCACCATAATTCTCATCAGGGACTTGAGAAGCCAGAAGGGAATGGGTAAATATATTCAAGTGTAAAAGGAAAAAACTGTCAACTAAAAATCACATATCTGGCAAAACTCTCCTTTAAGAGTGAGGCAAAAATCACAACCCTCCCATAAATAAAAGCTGAGGGAGCCCAGGTCGGTGTGGTTCAGTTGGCTGGAGTGTCATCCTGTACACCAAAAGGTTGGTGGTTGATTCCTGGCTGGGCATATGACTAAATTGCAGGGTCAGTCCCTAGTTGGAGCCTGCACAGGAGGCAACCAAACACTCTTTCTTTCTTTCTTTTTTTAAAGATTTTACTTATTTATTTTTAGAGAGGGGAAGAGAGGGAGAGAAAGATCAATGTGTGGTTGCATTTCGCATGCCCCCTGCTGGGGACCTGGCATGCAACCCAGGCCTGTGCTCTACACTGGGAATCAAACCACTGATCCTTCGGTTTGTAGGCCAGTGCTGAATCCACTGAGCCACACCAGCCAGGGCCAAACAGTGTTTCTCTCTCACTTTGATACTTTTCTCTCTCTTCCTCCTCCCTCCTCTCTCTCTAAAATCCAAAAACATTTAAAAAAAAAAAAAAAAAAAGGAACTGCCTTGCAGGAAATTCTCAAGGAAGACCTGCAGGGTGAAATGAAAGGCCACTAAACAGGAACTCAAAGCCATACAAAGAGATAACAATCTTAATAAAGATAAATACAAGGACAGTTATAAAAGCTAGTGTTACAAAAATGTTTTTTTAAAAAAAGATTTTATTTATTTATTTTTAGAGAGGGGGGAAGGGAGGAAGAGAAGGGAACAAACCAATGTGTGGTTGCCTCTCATGCGCCTCCCCCTCCCGGAACCTGGCCTGAAACCCAGGCATGTGCGCTGACTGGGAATCGAACCCTCGACCCTTTGGTTCACAGGCCAGTGCTTAATCAACTGAGCCACACCAGCCAGGGTTAAAAATGGTTTTTAACTCGAATTTTGTTTTCTACATGATTTAGAAGATGCAATTTTTTAAAAATATTTTTAAAAACTAATATTATTGTAACACTGTAATTCTATATCTAGTTTACTACATAATTTAAGAGACTAATGCATTTAAAAGTTATTAGTTTAAGTTTTTGGGCATACAATAAAGACATGATTTTGTGATATGAACAACTGAAAGGTGTGAGGACAGAGCAGTAAAGAAGTGTTGTTTTATGTTACTGCAGTTTAGCTGGTAAAAAGCAAAATTTGTGTTGCAACTTTAAGACATTAAATGTAATCCTACAAAGAAAATAGCAATAGGAGAGCAAAAAGGAAACGAGAAAAGAATTTAAACATTTTACTACAAAAAAAATCAACTAAACACAAGATAGTAATTCAGAAAATGAGGGACAAAAAAGCTATCATGCATGTAGAAAACAAGTATCAAAATGGCAGAAGTCTCTCCCTATCAGTAATTACTTTGACCATAATCAATTAAACTTTCCAACTGAAAGACAGATTGGGAGAATTGATAAAAACTCACGATCCAAGTATGTGCTATCTACAAGAGACTCACTTTATATCCAAAGACACGAAATGGTGAAAGTAAGAGGATGTAAAAAGATATTCCATACAAACACTAACCAGAAGAGAGCCGGTGACTATATTAACATCAGCCAAAAACAAATGATAAATCAAAAAAACAGGAGACAACGAAGGAGATTCTATACCCAAAAGGATTTGTTCTGAGAAATGTATCACTAGGCCATTTAGTCATCGTGCAAAGATCACAAAGTGTACTTAAGATACAAACCTAAAAGTTATAGCCTACTATATTTACACCTAGGCTACATGGTATAGCAGATTACTCCTAGGCTACAAGTCCATACAGCATGTTACTATACTGAATACTGTGGGCAATTTTAATACAATGATTAAGTATGTATGTACCTAAACATACCTAAAAGTAAAAAAGGTACAGTATAAATACAGTAGAAATGATTAAACTAAGATGACAATCTTATGGGACCACCATTGTATAAGCAATCCATCACTGACCGAAATGTTATGTGGAGTATGACTGTATTACTAAAAGGTATAATAAAACAAAAAGACATTAATAGTAAATACATACTTAAAGATAGCCCTTCAAAATATATAAATCAAAAAGTGACAGAATGGAAGGAGAAAGAAACTTCTACAATAATACATGAAGACTTCAATGCCCTATTCTCAGTAACAGAACAACCAGACCAAAGATAAGAAAAAAAAATAAAGGACTTACCATAATAAACTAACTAAAGCAAACAGACACATAACATTCTACCTAACAATAGCATACGGATTCTTCTCAGGTGTGCATGGGACATTTTTCAGGTTGGACCATGTCTTAGGCCACAAATTAATTCTCAACAATATTCTTTTATCTATGTTTTAGTTGTTGACAGTATTACAGATGTCCCTCATTTTTTCCCTTACACCAAGCCCCCACGCCCCCGTCTCAATAAATTTAAAAAGACATACAAAGTACAATTGTTTGTAATGTAAACAAAAGCTTAGCACACCAAAACTTTCAGAATGCAGTGCAAATATGGTTAAGAGGAAAATCTATAGCTCTAAGTGCTTACATTAAAAACAAACAAGATCTCAAATCAACAACCTAACTTCACAATTTAGGGAGGTAGGAAAATAACAACAAACTAAGCTTACTAGTAGAAGGAAGGAAATACATTAAAGATAAATGTTACAGAGAACAGAAAATAGAGAAAATTTAAAAAACAGGCCCTACTCGTAGATCAGTTGATTAGAGGGTGTCATCCTGAGACACCAAGGTTGTTGGTTCCATCCCTGGTCAGGAGATAAAGAATCAACCAATGAATGCGTAAATAAGTGGAACAAGAAATCGATGTTTCTCTCTCTCTAAAATAAAAAATCAACTAAAAAAATTTTTTACAAAAACCAAAGTTGGTCTTTTAAAAGATAACAAAAATGACAAAATTTTAGCCAGATTATCTAACAAAAAACAACAACAACAAAAAATTCAAATTACTAAAATGAGAAATAGAAGTAGAGACAGTCCTGTCAATTCTACTTCCTCAGAAACAATAGGGAAAAAAAAAAAGAGCGTAACAGAATACTATGAACAAGTATATACCACAAACCAGAAAACCTAGATGACATGGACAAATTCGTAGAAACACAAAACCTACCAAGGCTAAATCGTGAAGAAATAGAAAATCTGAACAGACCTATAATTGCAAAGGAGACTGAATTATTAATAAAAAAATCTCAACAAGCTAATAAACCTGATGGCTTTACTTGCAAATTATACCAAATCTTTTTAAAGAATACCAATTTTTCTCAAATCCTTCCAAAAAAAATCAAAGCATAAGAAACACTTCTAGCCCTGGCTGGTGCGGCTCAGTGGATTGAGCACTGGCCTGCGAACCAAAAAGGGTCGCTCTTTAGATTCCCAGTCAGGGCACATGACTGCTTTGCGGGCCAGGTCCCCAGTAGGGGGCACACAAGAGACAACCACACATTGATGTTTCTCCCTCTCTCCCTCCCTCCCTCCCTCTCTCTAAAAATAAATAATGAAATTTAAAAAAAGAAAAGAAACAAAACACTTCTAAACTCATTCAGAGGCCAGCATTATCATGATACCAAAGCCAAAGCACTACAGGAAAACAAAGCTACAGGCCAATATCCCTCATGAACACTGATGCAAAAACCTTCAACTAGGCAGCAACAAACTGAATCCAGTAGCACAGAGTCTCCCCAAACCCACGGCCAGTGTCTCATGAAGGTCTCCGGGCTGCAGGGTCTTCCATTTGCCTCCATCTTGGCTCCTACCTGGACAGGTGCTTTGGGAGAGGTCTTTCATCATCATCCGCAGCTCCTGCCCGTGCTCCAGCTGATGGACCAGCTCATGTCTGGGAACAGGACACCCTGTTCATGGAGGGAGAAAAAAGAGGACACAAGGATTTTTGTGAAAAGAAATAAAGTCTCTCAATCTCGTCTGGGTCTTGAGGATGTGGACAGGACCTCAGAATGAAGCTGCTCCCATCCACACACACAAAAAAATGACACGTGACCTGAAATCAAAGATATGCCATACTGACTTGGAGTTTTTTATTCCTAATACTATGTAAAAAACTTAGTATATAGAGTATAACCATAGTCAAAACACTATGACAAGCAAATTAAATGCATTATGTTGTTCCAAAAATGAAATGAATTTATGGAGTAATTTAAACAACTGACATTTAAAATACTGGCTCTTTTCTTTTTTTAAAAAAAACATTTAATTTATTTCTTTTTAGAGAGAGAGGAAGAGAGGGAGAGGAGAGGGGGAGAAAGAGCAATCAGTTGCCTCTCGCATGCACCCCAACCAGGCGCCAGACCTGCAACCCAGGCCTGTGCGCCGGCTGGAATTGAACCAGTGACCTTTCACTTTTTGCCAGACAATGCTCAACCAACTAAGCCACACCAGTCAAGGCTTGACTCCTTTCATTCAAAACAAGCTATGTTCAAGGGGAGGAGGTGGGTGGAGGTGAAAGAGGGCATGGAAAGAGGGGGGACAAATGGTAATGGAAAAAAATACAATTAAAAAATGAGCAAAAACAAAAAAAATAAAACAAGGTATGTCCTCATTGACCTAGGTCTTTTTTAGATCCTAAGTTTTATATTATTCTGCTACAGACCAGAGACAAATGAGGATTCTCTCTCAGGATTTCCTCATAGCACCCCCAGCAAGTATGTATTGTAATCAGCACCATTTTATAGATGAAGAACCCAAGACTCCACCAGAGAGCAGGATTTACCAAAGAGAACAGAAGTGATGAATGTGGAAACCCAGGTCTAGCATTCTCTGCTGTCTGTGCTGTGTTGCCACAAAGCTACATGACTCCGCTCCAGAAGGTGCTCAGTCCAGACAAGAGAACGATGAGAATCCTGATGAGCTTAACACTGGTGGTAGCAGCAGGGTCCTGGACTGCTAACCTGCACATAACCTAGTCACACAGGGCATTGTTCTGAGCCTTTTCCGTAAGTTACCATTTAGTCTTGTCACACTCCTAGGAAGCAGATACCATGTTACCCCATTTTACCGATGAGCACACCAAGGCACACACAGGTTTAGTAACTTGCCCAAGGCCACACAGTTTTTAAGGAGCAGAGTTGGACTGAACACCAGGGACCTGGCTCCAGACACTTGTCTCCCAAACACTCCACCAAGGAAGAAACAGGAAACACTCTTGTGTGGGGCCAGCAGCCTGAGACCAAGTGGAGGAGGGTGGTGAGGCAAGGACCTGAGTGAGGAGATTCATCCTCAGGGAACAGGGGCTGGGGGAAGGGCAGACTCAGTGAGGGAAGACTCCAGCAACTCATGAACTACTAAAAAATAATAAAATTGAGAATTCCATAAAGTGATATGGTCACATACAGAAATTTACAGAATCAAATACCGTCTTCCGCATGTCACAAAAACGATTACTACAGAAAGTAATATAGAGGACAGCTTCGAAAAATAAAGGTGTGTGCTTTACACTGAGTAAGTTAAGCTGTATGGAAGACGCACTGCAGCGGCCGAGTCTTCCTGATTTCGCTGAGGCCTGGGACACTCTGAGAATTAAGGGGCTGGAGCAGAAAGTACCGGGAACAGGCCTGACCTGTGGCCAGCACTCCAAGGACCTGAGCGAGCTGTGACTGCTATGAACCACTTTTCTTAAAAGCGGCCCTCTTTTTATTTTTCTTGCATTGCTTTAGAATGGGACTCCTGTCTCATGCTGGTAAATGGGAAACAGAAAGTCATTTCCTCGATGGCAAGTCAACCGGTAAGTGCAGCAGTGAAGTCAGCGATACACGCTCTCTCTTAGAAAATGGAAAATTAGAACAGGTGGGAGGCGGGGGACAAGATTCAGCTCTAAACCCAGACTTTCTCTCAACAATCGGGAGGCAGGAAAGAGATAAAATGAAGGAGCAGCTTCCACAGGGTGTCTTTATGCCCCTGAGGATGTGCCCATGCACACCCCAAACAGGGTTTCTCACCCTCTGCACAACTGACATCCAGGTCCAGGAAACTGTTCTTTGGAGTGGGAGGGAGGGGGGGGTGTGTCCTGTGCATGATAAGGATGCTCAGCAGCACTGCAGGGCTTCACCCACTACGTGGCCAAAGCATCCTCATCCCAGTTATGACCATAAAAAGCTGCAGAAACTGTCAAGTTCCCCTAGGAAACAACATTGTCCTCGATGAGCAGCACTGGCTTAGAAAGATATAAACTGGGTGGTGGAGAAAGCAAGTGTGACAGAGCAGGAAACAGCTGGTGAGGAGGTGGTGACAGGGCCACGTGGAGACGTTCTGAAAGGTGGAACCACCCAAGACACCCCCCAGGCAGACAGAACAGCAGTGCAGAGCCTGGGGGCAGGTATGGGCAAGGGGCAGGGAGGCGGCAAAGAGCCTGCTTACCTGGAGCACGGTGAGCGTGGGGAAGCACGTGAAGGTGAGTGAGGAGGGCAGCAGGGACAGGTACCTGACTTTTAATTTTACAAATTTTGTTACAAAATATCTAAATATATCAAACATTTCTTCATTTTGTTTAATATTTTCTCAGTGACACAAATCATACTTCCAGTTCTGTAAAAACAGGCGTGCCTAGGATTCTCAGCCCTCCTCTCTCTTGGGCTGAGTGGTCCTGAGATTATCTCCAAGCAAGAGACCATCTAAGCTGGTGTTTCGCAACCCTGGCACTCTTCACAAGTGGGCTGAACAATTCTTTGTTGAGGGTGGCTGTCCTGGCCATTGTACAATGTAGCAGCATCTCGGGACTCTGCCCACTGGATGCCAGTACCACCCACAACCCAGCCGTGACAATTAAAAGTGCCAACTTGCCCTGGCAAGGTAGCTCGATTGGAGCGTCGTCTCGTACACCAAAAGGCTGCAGGTTCAGTCCCCAGTCAGGGTACATACGTAGGTTGCAGGTTTGATTGCTGGTCAGGGCCCATAGGGCTACTGATCAAAGTTTCTCTCTCACTTTGATGTTCCTCTCCCCCCGCCCTTCTCTCTCTCTAAAATCAATCGAGATTTGAGGTCTCTCAAATCCTTGGGTGAGGATTAAAAAAAGAAAAAGAAAAAGTGACCACAAACATGGCTAAATGTCTCCTGGGGGACAAAGCTGGCAACTGTTTAGAGGCACTGGGGACTTAAGGAAGGGAGAGACCATCATGAAGATAGGAGAACGCACAGAAGACCAAGACCAAGACCAAGACCAAGACCAAGCCCTGCGTTTAGAACAATACCTGGTGGCAACGAGGGCAAAGGCCTCCTGGGGGCCCGCCCGACCCACGTTGGTCTGGGAGAGCATCCTGTCACGCAGGGTCCTGACACTTGCCCTGGAGGGGACGCCGGGGCCACCAGGCTCACTCAGTCAGATTCCTCTCTGGAATGCAAGACAGGAACCCCCGACAGGGGCCAGTCTGTGCCGGGCACTGGGCGTGAGGAGTCTGGGGAAAATGGGCTCAGGGGCCATCGCTGCCTCAAAGTCGCCCCAGAGAGCCCAGCGGCCAAGAAAGAATGAAAAACAACATAAAGCAGCAAAAAAGTAGGGACAAAGAATCTGGGGGCCACACAGAGCAGGGACTGAGGGGGCCAGTCCTGCCACAAACTCCCTCAGCAGAAAAAGCCCTTCTCAAGAGCGTGACGGGAGCACACCCAGGGAGAGGGGCCCGGACAAGAGGCCCAGGAGCCAGGGCGTAACCCGCGGGGGTCCCCGTCCCCGTGTCAGTCCCCCAAGGGCCCGACGGGGCATTCTGCCTTTGCGTTCTGCACAACACCCCCTGTCCTCCCACCTCTTCCGGGAACCAAAGGGGAAACTATGTTTCCTGCCCAAGACACACCTGGAGACCAGACAGGAGAGGTGAGTCTAGGAAATGACTGACGCTGTGGGGAGGAGGAGACAGCGCTCCCCAGACCTTCCTGACCACCGGGTCTGGAGCCGGGGGCGCAACACGGAAGCGCCAGGCGATCCCCGCGTGGCAGAGCTGGGGAGGACTCACCCAGAGACACCAGGAGCCTGCAGGTCTCCAGCATCACCTCCTGGTACAGGGTCCTCTGGGCCAGGTCCAGCTGCCCCCACTCCTCCTGCGTGAAGGTCACAGCCACATCATCGAAGGACACAGACACCTGGAAAGTCAAACACAGGACGTCGACTTGGCCTTGGAGCTGCGGGATGGGATCAGCCACCGTCTCTGCACCGCAGTCGAGGTGGTAAAGGGGCGACATCCAGGCCCAGAGCCGCAAGCACCTCCTGAGGACCGAGCTCTGGGCTGGGCTCAGGCAGAGGTGGACAGCGCTTTGGACAGAACACAGCAGTGCAGGACCAAGGCCTCCTGCGCAGGACCGTTGTAACTGACAGAAGACAATGGAAATGACACGCAGATTGTGAGATGTGGACAGCACGACGGGTTCCAGGACGTCCGAAGGATGAGGAAACACTGATAGTAACCGTATCAGTGGCGGTAATAACAGATGGGCCTGAGCCTCCCCGACCCTGCCAGGTGCCCGCCCCATGCTGGGGGCTTTACATCATGCCTCCCCGCCCCCCCCCCCGTTACAGATGAAATTCATTATTATTTTCTATTAGTTGCATCATGTCTTAAAGTGACTAAAAGTCCTCAGCTCTTTTTTTAATCTATAATAAATTTATTGTTTTATGAGACAATTCATAAAGGAGTAAAATCAAAGATTCCAAACCCACATCACAAGTCCTCAGCTTTCAAGCCATCATTCTCACCACTGACTCCTCACTGAACACACTGCATATGGAGTCTACCTTGCTAATGTTACTCCCGCCGCCACCTTCTACCCATTCTCCTCCATGTGAAAAGTCCTGCGGATACAAAAGCACAGCGCTGCGGTGACCAGACCCTCTCATTAAACACTAATAATTCAGCCACTCCACTCTCAGACGCAGAGCCTTACTATTGCAGCTCTGTCATGTAAGTGCTCCCAGATCAGGGAGGTATAGGGAGATAACTGGTAATGGGAAAAACAACAACAACAACAAAGAACTGCCCTGGCTGGTGTGGCTCAGTGGATTGAGCGCCAGCCTGCGAATGAAAGGGTCACCGTTTCGATTCCCAGTTCAGGGCACAAGACTAGGTTGCAGGCCAGGTCCCCAGTAGGGGGCGCGCGAGATACAATTACACATTGATGTTTCCCTCCCTCCCTTCCCTTCCCTTCTCTAAAAATTAACTAAATAAATCAATCTTTGGGACAAAAACTATTAAAACAAAAACAATAAATAAACAAACAGACACTGGCTTGTGGTTTCCCCCTCCACCTTCAGTGCTCGCCTCTCTGTGCTTTCTAGCTTCATCCTCCTTATCAGTTTTGACTTAATATTTCAATCAAACAGTTGGCAATTCCTAGTGAACTGATCCATACACAGGGATCCTACAATAGTACTCATTTCTGGTACTATATGAACTGACATCACTGAGCACATTTTGGACAGGTAGATAAGAGAAAAACCAAACAGAACCGCCACACTGACTACCAGACAATGTATGTTTAAATAATTATAAAGTCTCTGACATGCAATCACGTAACATCCTGTATGATTGGTTAAGGTGCATATATAATTTTACTTGGTTGGTCTTAGGTTGGAAGTGGATAAAAAATTAGAAAAAGTGGTAGTTATCAATCAAGTTCTGGCCATTTAGGGCTGACAGTTAACGAAGATATTGTTTAAAGACAGTGATCTGTTTTCCTGCGTTGTTCATTGTAGGTAAGGGCCTGGTTTCCCGGGCAGGTGGCTGCAGGTTGTGGGTCAAAGTTCCGTTTTCCTGTCTGGTCTGTCTACTGTCCATTCGTTCCTTAAACCTCTCGCGCTCTAAGACTGGAAATAAAGTGACATGCCAGCTCCACTTTAAATTAAGGACAAGGACAAAGAGGAATTCAATGGCTGACTTAGCCTCCACCCTAACCCAGAAGCCCTCTCCGAACCGACAGAAAAGCTACAATGCCCTAACCACGGTCCACTCACCTGCGCCGGGTCCACGCACGCCGCCGCCATCGCGGGACCCGGAGAGGCGGCGACCGAGGCGGGTCTCGAGAGCTCACGCGGGCGTCACCTTTTCCCTGCCCTCGGGGTGACCTCGGCTGACTGTCGCACTCCCCGCCCACGGGGAGGCTCACGGCTCGTTCGAAGGGGCGGAGGTGCGTCTTAGCCTCCCTTCTGCTCGTTTTCCAAAGGCCCCTCTAGAATCGACCACAAACAGCGACCGCCTCCCCACAGCTGGCGTGGACTGAACGGTCGCACGCAAATGACGTAACAATAAGGGACAGGAAGTCCAGCCCCACTGGCGGAAACGCTGTGCCGTCATTGGTCTAGCGGCCTACACGCACACTCGATGCACAGTTTTCTGGGTAACGTAGTTTTTCCTTGCAAGCCACCAGCTGTGGAGCTAGAGCTGGAGCAGGTGTCCTATGTTTAAGACTTACCACCCACCGCCCCCGCTCCGCGCCCGCCGCCTCCCGCTAGGTAATTGGGTTGTTTAGAACGTCGTCCAGATAAGCTAAGTTTGCGGTTCGTCAGGGCACAGACAGGAACCAGCGCCCTGGCCGGTGTGGTTCGGTCGGTTGGGCGTCGTTCCCGCAGGGCAAAGGGCTGCAGGTTCAATTCCTGGTCACGACAAAAGGCCCGGGTTGCGGGTACCATCCCCTGTCAGGGCGAGTAGGGGAGACAACCAATCGATATCTCTCTCCCTCTCTTTCTCCCTCTCTTCCCCTCTCTCTAAAAATAAGACCTCAAGTAAAAATTTTAAAAGAAAATTAACCAGTGATGGAGAGTTGGGATGGTGAAAACACGGTACAGTGTTTGAGATGTGTCGCAGAATTGTTCACCTGAAACCTGTATAATTTGGATAACCAGTGTCACCCCAATAAATTCAATTAAAAAAAAAAAAAAAAAAAAGCCCTGGCTGGTGTGACTCAGTGAATCGAGCGCAGGCCTGCAAACCAAAGGGTCACTGGTTCAATTCCCAGTCAGGGCACATGCCTGGGTTGCAGGCTGGGTCCCCAGGAGGGGACACGTGAGAGACAACACATTGATGTTTCTCTCCCTCTTTTTCTCCTTCTCTTCCCCCCTGTCTAAAAATAAATAGATGAAATATTTTTTAAAAAAATCAACCAATGAATGCGTAAGTGGAACAAGTCGATGTCTGTTTTCCTCTCTAAAATCAGTATCAGGGACATGGACAACAGTGTGGTGATTGCTGGGGGGTGAATATAAAGGGACTAAATGGTAAAAATATAATAAAGATAAATAAAAGTCAATAAATAAAAATTAAAAAATTAAAGTTTACAGAGAAATGTGAATTAGCACTCAAAAACTATGGTATCTATCATTGGCGATCATAATTTGCCTATATTGAAAGACACACTTCTTTTCACGTGAGGTTAACCCTTAAATTGATACTGGGCTATGATGTAAATTATTAAAATTAGGATTCTTATATTATCTGTGTCATGGGAGACAGAATGTCTGAAATCAGTAGTGGGGAAAGCTATGTAGCTATTGGAGAACTTAGGAACCCCTACTGTAAAGCATGGCAGAGTTCCCATTATGGAAACATACATGATGTGGCAGTCAACGTGGAGGGCCCTAGTTGGTTTTTCCATCATAATCTACTGTCCAAAATGTGCCCGGTGATATAAATTTATCCACCACCAGAAATGAGTACTATTGCAGGATCCCTAAGTATAGACCAGTTAATTTATTAGGAATTACCAAGTGTTTAATTGAAGTATTAAGAAAACTGATAGGATGAATCTAGAAAGCACAGAGAGGTATCGATGGCAGAGGTGAAAAATCACAAGCTAGTGTCTGGGAGTGGTTAAATGATCGATCTGCAACAGTGGAGCTGTGCATCTGAGAATGGAGTGGCTAAAATATTTGTGTTTAATGACTGGGTCCGGTCATCACAGGGCTGTGGTCCTGCACCAGCTGGACATTTCACATGTATACAATGTGGTGGTAGTAACATTACCAAGGCAAACTATATGCAGTGTGTTTAGTCAGGAGATACAGCAATTATGATGACTGCAATGAACAGAATGCAGGTTTGATCTCCCAGCTGGAGTCTACGTGTTCACTCTGGTGGCATCACCTTATTGTGCATAACGGGAATAACTGGCCACATGAAACTGTGACAGGGGCCATAGGGGAAGTTTGGAAAAACACTCCTTAACCTGCTACAAGTGGAGAATGTTATTTCAGAAGAAAGTATGTTACATTTATTATTAAGGATGATTTATTCTGAAGCAATTAGAAAATGATACACCCTGGAGGTGCTAGTGAATTCATCTGAGAACTGGGTGGTACTGGTGCACAAGATATTTTATTGCAAAGATGGCAACATGTTGCATGTCAGTATGAGGAGAGTGAACCTCTGGGTTGACCAGTCCTGTACTCCTGAAAACATACAGGTTAGCTGAGTCTAGAAGTTACTGTGATAGATGGCAGATTATGCACCACTGGTGTTTATCTCCAGAAAACAGTCACTAATTTTCAAGGAAGGTGGTTAATTCACCATCTGGAGGCAAGGAGGGGCATCGTTTTGAGCCCCTTACTTATGCAACTATAAAGATGTGGTACACAATGATTACCCTTTTATTAATTAACATCTTGTATTTTGAAAGAGAAGAAACGAAAGGCAGATGAGGTAGTGGGACCAGGAGAACTCCCTGAACACACACACAGGGACAGGAAGGGACAGGGCTCAGGAAGCCATCTGAGCAGAGGGAGGAATCACCCTCCGAGAGTGGGCCCGAACCCAGGGATGCTGCAGGATCTCAACCAATGGCAGCCGCTCTGAAGGCTGGTATCTGAGAAGCTTGCTGATCAAGTCCTGGGCCCCCAAAGGTATTGATGGAGGAATCCTGAAGTCAACCTGATGTGACCAGAGAAGAAACAAGTATGGTTAATTTTTTTGGTCCGTGTTCTAAGACCCTGCAAGGCACTGGATCTAAGGAGACAAGCTTGGTGTATCTCCCAGACTGTGCACACCCAACAGCCACCACTGATTGGCTTCCCCATGAATGCCTACAATGTGGCCATCTCACCTTGAGGATGCGCCTGTAGGTCTCAGAATAGGAGGTGCTCTCAAAGGGTGGATTTCCTACCAGCAACTCGTAGCAGAGAACTCCAATGCACCACAGGTCTACCTTCTCATTGTATGTTTTCTGCTCGATCATTTCTGGGGGCAAGTAGTCCAGAGTCCCGCACACTGTCTTTCTCCTAGAGGACAAGGAAGTGTGCTGCCCAGAGGCCCAGAATAAGGGAAATCTTCCTTTCCCAGCTCCCAGTGAGATGGGAGACCCTAGGAAGTCCCCTCCCCAACATGGGAATTTAGAAACAAGTTTTAATATGGATCAAGATTCAGAGAAGGCAAGTACTGGATCCCGCCAATTCTATATTTTGGAGTAACTCATAAAATTATTTAACTCATGGTCGAGAGTGTTTTCACAAGAATATTCTGGCCATCAAGAAAGATTTGGGTCTCTCCCTCTTTCTAACTCCTTTCCCTTCTCTCTAGAAATAAATCTTTTGAAAAAAATTTAAAAAATTTACTTTTACTTATTTTTTAAAGATTTTTTTTTTTTTAATTTTTTGGGAGAGAAGGGAAAGAGAAAAAGAAACATCAGTGTGTGGTTGCCTCTTACACACCCCCTACTGGGGACCTGGCCCACAACCCAAACATTTGCCTTGACTGGGAGTCTAAAGGTGGCCTTTTAGTTTGCAGGTCAGCACTCAATCCACTGAGCCACACCAGCCAGACCAATGAAAGAAAGGAAAGAAAAGTCCCAGCTGGCAACAGGATTAAGCAAAAAGGATAAAAAAAGAGAAAGCACTCATGAACACAGACAGCAGTGTGGTGATTGCTGGGGGGAGGTGGGGGAATGGAGGTGGAGGGAGGATAAATGGTGATGGAAAAAATTAAATAAAATAAAAGCAAAAGAAAAAAAATAAAGGTTTGGAACAAACTTCTGGTGCATAAAGAGAGATCAAGTAACTGAGTCATCCTTTATTTATCCAGTCAATTTCCTGAAATTACGGAGCAATGGTTCTTTGTTTACATGGAAACTTATTGGTATAGTTATATGTTAACAGATTAAAAAAAGATATGGTTAAACCACATTCTTTGTTTTCAAACACATAACACACACATTTGAAAAAGGCAGTACATCTATGGACCACTTGATGACGGGGGAGATATATCTGAGAAAAGCATCATTAGGTGACTGCATCATCGTGCAAACGTGATGGAAGCACTTAAACACACCTAGGTGGTCTAGCCTACTACATACCTGGGTTGCATAGCATAGCCTATTGCTCCTACGCTACAAGCCTGCACAGCATCTCATTATACTGAATACTGTAGGCAATTGGAACACAATGCGAAGTATTTGTGCATCCTAACATAGAAAAGGTACAGTAAAAATACAGTATAAAAGATAAAATGGTGCACTGTATAGGACATTAACTATGAATGGAATTTGCAGGACTGTAAGTTGCTCCGGATGAGTCAGTGAGTGACTGACTGGTAAGGGAATGTGAAAGCCTAGGACATTACACTAACATTGATTTTATTCATAATATCGTACACTTAGCGGGCCACACACCAGTTAGCCAATCTTCTATTGTTCCCTTGATATTTTAAAAAGGAAAAGGAAAAAGAATTGCCTTTGTCTGCCATAATTCTGCTAATATGTTAGTTGGGCAATGCCCTGCTCCCAGTCAAATGTAATTTGTCTTTTTATGAGGAACCTGGTCCTTCCATGAATGACCTGCCCTAATCTCTATGTTTGGATTGAGAACTTGAAAATGGAGAGTAAGATTTATAATTATCATATGGCTGTTACTTCTGTGACTTTGAAGTAAAAAGTAGAATTATATTGTATTCTACATTAAAATACTGTACACTGAGATTACACTAAATTTATTTTTTAAATATTTTTCTTCAGTAGTAAATTAATCTTAGGTTATTGTAGCTTTTTTACTTTATAAATTTAAATAATTTTCCCCCTCACCCAAGGACATTTTTTCATTGCTTTCAGAGAGAGAAAGGAGGGAGAGGGCGGAGAGAGGGAGAAAGCAAAGAAACATCAATTGGCTGCCTTCTTATATGTGCCCCAAATGGGAATTGCACCACAACCTGGGTATGTGCCCTGGGCAGGAATAGAACCCACGACCCTTGGGTCTACAGGACAACACTCCAACCAGCTAAGCCACACTGGCCACAGCTTTACTTTATAATTTTTAAAAACTTTTTCACTCTTTTGTAATGAGTTGGCTTAAAACATAAACACATTGTATAGCTGTACAAATATATTTTCTTTCTTAATAACCTTATTCTATATGTTTTTTTTACCTATTTGCAATTCTTTTTCCCTTTTAAACTTTTTAAAAAGAGATTTATTTATTTTTAGAGAGGGGTAGGGAGATAGACAGGGAGAGAAACATCAATGTGTGGTTGCCACCCCCAACCCCTGCGTGCCCCCAACCAGGGACCCAGCCCACAACCCAATCTTGTGCCCTGACTGGCAATCAAACCAGCAACCCTTTGGTTGGCAGGCCGGCACCCAATCCACTAAGCCACACCAGCCAGGACTTCCCTTTTAAACCTTTTTTTGTTAAAAACTAAGAGACAAACACACACATTAGCCTAGGCCTAGATAGGGTCAGGATCAGCACTATCACTGTCTTCCACTTCCACATCTTGTCACACCAGGTCTTCAGTGGCGATAACATGAATGGAACTGTCACCTTCTATAACAATGCCTTTTGAAATATGTCCTGAAGGACCTGCCTGAAGTTCTTGTTAAGAAGGCGTTACTCTTTTCAGAAATATATGCATTGTGGGTTACTTGTTTTTTCCTTTTTTTCATCATAGACTTGCTTTTAAGCAGATAATACATCATGAATGTTCTATTAGGGTCCATGTTTTCAAACTTTTTAAGGAGCTTGATGAGGTGTGCAGAAATTTGTGATACTTCTTTATAAATTTTCTTTGGGGTTCTTCTGCAGTTTCCTTTTCTCTTGCCTCTTCCTCAGCTATGTGTTCCTGTTTCAGTTCCAACAACTCCTCATTAGTCAATTCCTCAGGAACCATGTCTAGGAGCTCCTCATGGAGTCCTCATCCACACCCAGGTTAAAGTTGTTTGCCATCTCAACCACAGCCCTGCTGATTTTTGCATCCTCCTCCTCCTTGGCAAATCCTTTGAAGTTACAGAAGAACCTCTTAAGTGTCTCCTTCCAGATGCCACTCACACACTCCTTGGTGACATCATCCCAAGGCCAAGCAAGGTTCTTGATGCAGTCATAGATGTTGTAATCCTTCCAGAACTGCAGCAGTATAGTACAATAATTACACAACCCAGTAACACAGTCGTTTATTATCATTATCAATCATCACGTACTACATATAATTGCATAGACTGTACTTTTTTAAAACTGGCAGTGCAGCAGGTTTGTTTACACCAGCATGACCATGAACATGTGAGTAATGCATTGCATTACAACATTATGTCAGCTATGTCACTAGGCAATAGGAATTTTTAGCTCCATTATAATCTTACAGGACCACCATCTATATGCAGTCCATCGTTGACCAAAGAAAGCATCATTATGTAGTGCATGCCTGCATTAAAATACAAACCTAGGCTTGTATGTGGGTCTTACATGTGAAATGTATTAAATTGGATCATTCCTTTAAAAAAATTATTTTTAGAGAAGGGAAAAAAGAGTGGGACAGAAACATCAATGCAGAAGAGAAACATGGATTGGTTGTCTCTTGCACGCACCCCGACCAAGGACTGAACCTGCAACCCAGTCACGTGCCATTACCAGGAATCGAACTGGTGACCTTTCACACTACGGGATGACGCCCAACCAAATAAGCCATACCAGTCAGGGCATTCCTAACTAGTACCCACGGCCCACCCCACCATCACCATGGCTTACCTCAGCGAGGGAGTGTGCACAGACCACCCAAAGTCTGCAATCTTCACTTCACCCCTAAATCCCAGCAGCAGGTTCTCTGGCTTAATATCCCTGTGAATCACCTTATTCTCATGGCAGTAGGTCAGGGCATCTGCCAACTCCTCCATTATCTGTGTGAGCAAAGAAAAATAAAGTCTGGTTCTGACAGGTGTGGCTGAGTGGATTGGGCATCGTCCTGTAAACCAAAAGGTCACAGGTTTGATTCCTGGTTAGGGCACACATCTGGATTATGGGCCAGGTACCCAGCTGGGGGCATGCAGGAGGCAGCCAATCAATGGAAACCTTGCCTCTTCCTTTCTTTCTTCATTCCCCTGTCTCTAAAAGTAAATAAAATCTTTAAAAAATATTTTTAAAAAGAAAGAAAAAAAAGAAGACTGACCCTGGCTAGGTGGCTCAATTGGTTGGAGCGAAGTCCCATACACCAAAAAGTCACCCGGTCCAATTCCTAGTCAGGGCACATGCCCAGGTTTCAGGTTTTGGTCCCTGGTCAGGGCACTTGAGGGAGGCAATTGATAATCTTTCTCCCCTGGTCCCCTTCCTTTCTCTCTGAAATCAATGGAAATATGCCCTCAAGTGAGAATTCTTTAAAAAAAAAAAAAAAAAAGCAGTCTGATAAAATGAAGCCTGCCACAATTTTCCTCAGGCGACATACTCATCATACATTGTATAATTGTAGTGGAATCTTTTTCTTTAAAATGTCTCATTTCTAAAAATTTGCAGTTATTGATTTTAGAGAGAGATAAAGAAACATCGATTTGGTGTTCCACTTATTTATGCATTCACTGGTTGACTCTTGTGCATGCTCTGATCAGAGATTGAACCTGCAACCCTGGCTTACCGGGACGATGATCTAACCAACTGACCTACCTCGTCAGGGCTGTAGTGGAATCTTTTATTTCCTTGTTACCAACTCCACTACCCTCTTAAGAGCACAATTTTTGGTGAGGGAGGATTTCCTCTCCTCCTTTTTATGTAGTCTGATAGGATAAATGCTAAAGTGGACAGATCCTCCCTTTTGCCCCAGCATATCTAGTAGCCCAACACAGGATCTATGCTGAGCCAATTTGATTATCTACCACAGGACTTGAAGCCTGAGGAAATAATACAAAAACAGGAGGAAAATAGGAAGATCATTCATTCTGACAGCAAGATGACCAACCATTCTTGCTGGGATGATCTCAGCTCTGGTTCTACATTAGGAGTCCTCGAGAAATCTCATTTCCTACTTCTAAGCCAGGTTCCACTGACATAGCAAACTCCCTCGTAGCCTATCAATGTTTCGCCGCATAAGACAGTCGAATTAGATTCTGTTGCTTAGAATCCAAACTTATACACACAACTTGTTCATATGTGAGGGTAATTTAGGTGTACAAATGTGAAATTGTAGGCTACATGTCTTTATATAAAATTCAGAGATAAAGAAAAAAGCACTCTGGACATTCATGACAGCCACAAGCAGTGACCCTCCACCCTCACCAACACACAGTAAACTCATTGACCCCAAAGCCCCCATACACCACAGCCCCCCACCTCACCGTGGCTGTACGGCGCTCATCTAAAGTGTGGTTCCTTTGCAGTTCCTTGTAGAGCTCACCCCTTGGAGCGTATTCCAGAATCAGGTACACACGACGTGCATCATGGAAATAGTTGTACAGGCGTAGGATATTGGGGTGTCTGGAGGAGAGATGGAGGAAGGGTCAGACTTCTCCTTGAGGCCAAATTCATGATGCTATTACAAATGATTGGTCACATAAGAAGCAAAATGTACGGGGACCAGAATAATAATAGCCTGATCTGGGAGAGCATGAGGGGAGAAAAGGGACTGGGCATTTGGTGTGTGTGATGCACGGAGCTTTATACGGTGTAACTGTAATGAATAGCTAAGAAAAAAATCTTCCAGGTGAAAGCAAGTGCCTATTTGGGGGAAATGCTGGGTTCAGATGTTAGAGATAAAAGAGGACACAGGATGCCCTGACTGGGTAGCTCAGTTGGTTAGAGTCATGCATATATGCCAAGGTTGCAGGTTTGACCCCTGGTCAGGGCACATAAAAGAATCAACCAATGAATGCATAAATAAGTGGAACAACAAATCTATGTTTCTTTCTCTCAAAGGAAAAAAAGGAAAAAATCAATTAAAAAAAACAAAAGCAAAAAACGACGACACTGAAGAACAAGGGTAAGAACCAGAACAGAACTACCATGCCTAGGCAGTCCTTACTGTAGATGCGCCTGGATTTCAATTTCTCTGCGCAGCTGGTGTTCCATTCCTTCCTTCTCGAGCTGGGACTTGAAGAGGACTTTCAGAGCCACAATGAAGTGGCTTTCCTTGAGCCGAGCCAGGTACACATTCCCAAATTTTCCCTTGCCCAGAGGACGCCCGATGTCAAAATCATCAATGGTGAGGCTCCGGCTGACAGAAGAGGAAGAAAAGAGCCTCAGTGTGCGAGTTCAGTGGACTTCGAGGGTTCCCCTTCCTTTTTCGTTCACCCTCCCTCGGCCCCTTTGGCTTCTCCAGGGCCCAGCCAGGGGTGTGCGCCGCAGCTCTGAGTCCCATGAGCCACACTTCAAGCTCACTTCTCATCCGTCCGTCCCACTTCCCTTTCTCCTGCAGATCCAAAGCCGAAGGGCACTCACGCGGTGGACACGCTGGGCAACGTAGGGCCGTCTGCAGCTGCTGAAAAAAAGGGCAGTCAACGCTTTCTTTGGCGCTCTCCCACCCCCACAACCGACCCCGGGCCGCTCCTCTCAACCCTCTGTTTCTGGTCCTGGTTCTTCTCTCTGTCACCTGCGGGCTGAGCATTGCCCGACTTCACCACAGGCTGTGGGACACTCATGAGGAGGCGGTAGTGGCGAGAGGACGCCCTCCCGAGCTCTGCGGAGGCGGGTGTGCAGGTCCGGCTGATCCCGAAAAGGGGCCAGAGGCTGAGGGTCTTCCACTCCGGATCTGCGTCGTCAGGGCGCCGCCTGGAAGATCCTCAACGACTCGACTCTCCCGCGGTTCAGGAAATAGCGAGGCGCTGCCGACCAGGCCTTTTAGATTCGCACTCTGGCCCCATTGGCTGAGCGGGTAGTTCCTGGCCGATTTCCATAGGTTGAAATGTCTGAGGCCAGGGCGCTGAGCCAATGAGAGAGACCCCGGCACGGGAACCGGAAGGGGGCGGGACCTGGGGCGGCGGCGGGAGGCGCCGGGTGCTGAAAACAAAGGAGCCGAGGAAACGCCCGAAATGGCGCGAGAAACGTTTGCGTCCTGGCGGGTCGCTCAGTTGGTTAGAACTTCGTCCCCCTTTGTGTGCCAAGGTTGCGGGTTGGGTCCTGGGTCAGGGCACATATAAGAATCAACCAATGGATGCATCATGAGTGGAACAACAAATAGGTAGTTCTCAATGGAAAAAAAAACAAAACAAAAAGCCACACAGCAAAGGCTCCAGTGGATAAGCACTTACGTACGTATTGTAAATGCAAGAGTGAATGCATGAATGAAAGGACACATACAGGAACTAAGAGACAAGACACACGTGTGAGTGAATATAAAGCAACCCCAGGAAGTTGCTGGGGGAACTTAGAAAACTCCAAAACCAAGTGCATTCCCAGATGACCGCCGCTTGAAGGTTGTGTCAAGGTCGGGCCACTCCCCAGGGCCCCATCAATCACACACATACATGAGGGATCCCCAAAGTTTGGGCCTCTGTACCCCATATCCTGTGCTCATGAGCTCTGCAAGTCCACCCGCACACCTATTTTGGCATATTACAGAAGTTTCAACATTCAAATTCCTTTAAAGAGGCAACAGATAAATTGTTTGGGAAATAGAATTTACTTTTTAAACATGGATGTATTTTTAAATTTTTTTTATTTATTGACTTTAGAGAGAGGAAGGGAGAAGTCCATTTATTGTTCCATTTATTTATGCATTCATTGACTGTTTATTGTATGTGCCCTGACCGGGGATTAAACCTGCAACCTTGGCATATTGGGATGATGCTCTAATCAACTGAGGTATCTGGCCAGGGCAGATAAATAACAATTCAAAAACAAATTTCCCAATCCAGAAAAACCTCATCACAAAATTAGTAGAGAAAAGTTTATTAAAAAAAACATTAAAGCAGAATGGGATGTGCATCAGACATTCACTAACATTGAAAAGACAGAAATCTCACCCTATTATACAGCCAAGCAGACACAACCTATTATGTTTTCAAGATAATTAGTCCTTAAGTAAGAAAACGTGGCAGCAACATGTTACACATAGTTCACCCAAAACTTACTGGTAATTGGAGACTACCTGCCCTTACATTCGTTTTCTAGAAAACAAACTTCTCATTTCTTTCGGACACAAGGTAATTTTGCAACTTGGAGCAAGGTGCCCACGGAAGTTAGGCTCCTCCCCTTTCACAGGAACTGGGAGATAGGGCTGCAACCTATTGTCATGTCTTCACTTCAGAGATGGCTCCTAGGTCTTTGAGAATGAATGGCATTCCTGGGTTCACAGAGCTCTGGGGGATTTGAGGAAAAGTAGTAAGGCTAGTGTACAAGCCTAGTGTGGCTACATCCGCACCTGTACGGGTTAGAGTGGTACAAGATAAATGAAGACGTTGTATAAAACCTTGTCCATGGTTAAGAGGTGGTAGTATGTAATCTCAGGTGTTCTACATGCACCTGAGATTTGCTTAACCAGGAAAGACATGCAGCCTTGGAAGTGATTGTCATGAAGGAAGTTTATGCTCATGGGTCTCTATGGAGTAGGAGGCGGGGCACACCACTGAGGGCCAAGTGAGGGAAGCACCAGGGTGGTTCAGGGGGCAGAAGCTCCAAGGAGAAAACATGGCCCAGCCCCGTTGTTGTGTTTTCTGCAGGAAAGAGGAAGCAGGGTAGGTAAACATCTTAGGATTGGCTGGTTTGAAAACTGTTGTAGGACTCCAGAGCATAGGAGTTGTTGCTTGCCTGGTACCTGGCCCTGAAGTTTTTTAGGGCACAGGAAGATGACACCTGGAGTTCAAGAGCTAGAGAAAGGTGGTTAGTTTGCATATGAAGGGCCAGGTTCAGGGCAGGTTGTCGATGTGTCTACGAACTGGCTAGCGCTGGGAGGGGCAGTATCTCCCCAGTCAGTGGGGTCCCAAATGCCAAGATTACAGAAAATAAAAATTATATAGTTATTACACGTGAAACAGGAAGCCACCATACATTTCTGAGCTGAACAGTAAGGTAATTTGATCTGTGTATTAAAGGGTCAGTCTGGATGCTGCGTGGAAATTAGAAAATTCAAGTACAGGAGGGGCAAGAGAAGAGGAAGATCTGTAAGAAGTTCTCGCTACTTTCCAGATGGTGAGGGTAATGACTTAAACCAATGCAGTGAGCGGGGAGGTAGTTTATCACAAAGTACAAGTAACAGTTGATCAAAGAACACGAGTAATCAAATTAGTACAAAAATATGGATATGAACATAGTATCTTTATAGGACGAACTGGTTGTTTCTTTAAATCTTTCCATTTCTCACACTCCTTCCTTTATATGTGAGGCAAATTCCTGATAATAATATGGTGTATTTGGTACAGAAATGCTTCTTAATATGAAGATGCCCAAGCAGATAGGATTAGCAGAGCCTAGGCCAAGGGCCAAGGGGTTGAACTGCACAGGAAAGTGTTACCTGAACAGGCCTCAGCTGCTCCAATGGTACATTCTGAAACAGAACTAGCTTTTGACCAGCTCTATGAAGATCACCTGAGTCCTTGGAGTATCATGCCTGCTAAGAGTGATTGTTATGCCTAAATCTATAGACCCCACTGTATCAGTTTGACTACATAACTTATGCTAACAATGTGATTCATGGTGAATGATGGGGTTTGTATCTTTGCTCTGGATACTGGAGACAGTGTCCATGATCAGACTTGTAAGTATTGCATCCTTCAATTTAAAAAAGTTTTGTAGCCCTGGCCAGGCAGTTCAGTTTATTAGAACATCACCCAGATACGCCAATGTTGCAGGTTCAATCCCCAGTCAGAGCACATACAGGTAACTAATGAATGCATGGGTAAGTGGAACAAATTGATGTTTTTCTCTCCCCCTTCCTCCCTCCAAAATCAAGTTTAAAAAAATTTGAAAAGGAAATGGTAGCCTCAAGGGCACAGGTTTAAAGATGTCCAAGGGTTGAGAAATGGAGGTAATGATGTTGAGTCAGGGAATTTTATCCTTGGTAAGTAAACAGGCCATGTAGTGCTGAGGGGAGGCTGAGTGGATTAGAATCAGGGAGAAGTGAGAGCCATTTTATGAATCCAAATTATTTGGAGACAGGTTTCTATGAAATACCCAAGTATTTCTTAGGGATAAGGAAGGAGAGTGATGAGGATGCTATGCACACGTAAGTACCTTACATATAGAGTGGGTCAAAAGGAGGTTTACAGTTTTATGTGAAAGTTTATGTTATTATTTTCCATGCAACTGTAAACTTTTTGCCCCACCTTGTATATTAGGTATATACATTTATATAGTACATATATATGATCCTGAGTGGTGTGTATACACACACATTCGTGTCAGTTATTAGGATGAGGCAAGGCCCTTTCTCACCAATTTCCTCTGCACTTGGTCATCACTAAATTAAATCCTGGCTTGTCTGGAAGATCTACCGTCACTTAGTGATCTTTTTAGCTACAATGGCTCTCAGCATATGTAAGCCTACACCTCAAAGTTATGACTCAAATAAGGAGTGGCTCAGGGTGCCCAAGCTTTCTGTGTAAACACTGTGGTTTATACCAAACACCTGCTGTCCTTCTAGAACTTGCTATGTGCTAATAAGAGTGCCCCCTAAAATCCTAGGGCACCATCTCTAATGAGCTTCCCTAGTAGACATTTCAGTTGGTTGTCCTAACTCCTTAATGGAGCTTCAACTAAGCACGTCCTTCTGTGACTTCTGAGACAGGACTATTGAAAACTGTCCCTGGGTTCCTCTGGACTTCAGTCCTTGTGCCTTTTCCCTTGGCTGAGTTTGCTTTGATCCCTTTTGCAGTAATAAACACAGCCGTCTTCCTAGCAAGTCATCACACCTGGAATAGTCTTGAGGACCTCTGACAATCATCTTTGTGACTTCTAAAATCTTATAGGAATAAATAAATTTAAAAAACCTGATAGATCGGTCCATAAAAGCCCATGCAGACTCTTTTGGAGGTCAACACACACACAGTTATCTGTAAACACTCTGGGAGGGACCCAACATGAGAATAAAAATACACTGCTATGTGCGCCCATTCACTCAAAGACACAATTTGTCTACTGAGGAAAATGAAAAGGTAACATGAACAAAGCGAGACAGTGACTGGATGCAGGATGATTAAAGAAAAATGGCTGTGAGGTGTCTGGCTTGAACGACAGAAGATAGTGGGATTCACTGAGATGTTCTTCAGGGACCTCAAAACCACCACATAAAAATAGACACCTGTCTTATCCCTTCCCTAACCTCCCTACATCCAACCCAGACACTGTCTGTATTTTCTTTCACATTGTGCAGCACCCTGACCAGTGTGGCTCAGTTGGTTGGAGCATCATCCCATAAACTGTGAGGCTGAGGGTTCAACTCCCGGTCAGGGCACATACCCAGGCCGCGGTTTCATGCATATGAGAAACCACCAATGTTTCTCTTTCACATCGATGTTTCTCTCCCTCTCTTTCTACCTCCCTTCCCTTCTCCCTAAAATGTCAATGAGCATGTCCTCAAGTGAGGATTAAAAAAGGGGAGGGGGCAACTTTGGTTCACCTCACTCAACCTATAGGGATGTCCAAGATGCACTGTGAAATGAGAAAGTAATTAGCGGATAAACTAGCATGATTTAATCTATTTTAGTAAAATGAATAGTGAGTTTTGTGAAAAGCATTTGACAGTTGAGGCAAAATTATAACAATATCCACTATGGCGCTCAGTGTACGAGGGAACATTTAGAACAATTATACTACTGAAGATAAGAATAGGGAATGTAAAGGAACCTAATGGAATTAAGGTTTCTACACATCAAAGGGCTACACTGACAATAAAGTTAGACTGTAGTATTATGGTGTACAATATAGTACCTAATCATTAAAAATAAGACGCCAACTCAAAAAACATTATAGTTATGTCAAATGGAGTTCTAAAATGTGTTTAAGAAAACCACAGGAAGGCAAAAGTAAAAAACAAACAAACAAAAAGCAACATTCAGAAAACAGGAGCAATACACAAGAAACACCAAAAAAGTGAAATCATAAAATAGCACACTTAATCCCTAACATATTAATAATCACTTTAAATTTAAATGATCTAAATCTACACCAGTTAAAAGACAGAAAGCAGCCAGGTGAATACAAAGCATGCCCTAACTGTAAGTTATAAGAAACTTCAAGTTAATAATACAGATAAAAGTGAAAAGAAAATTATAAAAAAATATAAACCATGCAAGCATTAATCAAAACATACAGACCTGCCTATATCAATACCAGATAAAGCATGCTTCAAAGGCAAGGAAATGAACAGAAGTAAAATGAGGTATTACATAATGATAAGAGGGTCATTACACCAAGATGATATAGTGATCCTGAATGTGCATGCACTGAACAACAGAGCTTTGAAATACACGAAGTTAAAACTGATAGAACTTAAAGGAGGGAAGACAATTCCACAATTATACTGCAGGACTTCAACACCCCTCTTTGAGCAACTGATAGAAATACTAGACCAAAAAAAAAAAAAAAATTGGCAACGACATTGAGAATCTGAATGGTATCTCCAACAGGATCAGGCAGATATTCATGGAAACCACACCCAATGTCTGCCGAACACATATTCTTTTCTAGCACCATACAGAACCTTCAAGAAGATAAACCATTATCTGGGTCATAAAAAAAAAAAAAAACCCCAAAACCCTCAACTAATTTAAACAGTGAGGCCAAATGGGAAACAGACTAGAAATCAGAAACAAAAAAACATAGCATGAAATACTCCCAACGTTGGGAAATAAAACATTATACTTCTAAATAATCTGTGGATCACAGAGAAGTCTCTGAAGGAATCAAGAAATATTTAAAACTGAGTAAGTTGTAATAAACGTATTAAACCTTATGGAATGAAACTAGAACAGTGCTGTAAAGGAATTTATAGTACAGGTGACCCTGAATAATGCAGGTTTGAAATGCATGGGTCCACTCACAATGCAGAAATCTGCCTTGTTCAAGAGCCAACTTTCGATCTGCAGTTGGGAATTGGTACATGTGGACTGCTGACTAAGTTATATGCTGATTTTCAACTATGTGTGTGTGCGGGGGTGGAGGGGGTCGGTTCCCCTAAGCCCCAAGGAACAACCGTACTTAATGCTTACATTAGGCAAGAAAAAAGTTTCAAATCAATAATCTCAATACCCACCTCAAAAATACAAATAACTAAATACAACTATAGCAAAGTAGAATAAAGAATATAATAAAGATCATAAGGAAATTAGTGAAATTAAAAACAGAAATAGGGAAAAATCAATGCTGTAAAGTGCTGGTTCTTCAAAATGATCACTAAAATTGATAAATGTCTAAGAAGTCTAGCACATTTCCAAAACGAGGAATAAATTGAGATATAGGTACAGATCCTCCTGCCATTAAAAATATAATAAAAGATTACTTTAGTCCTGATCAGCATGGCTCAGTGGGTTGGGCACTGTCCTGCAAAGCAAAAGGTGACTGATTTGATTCCCTGTCATGGCACATGCCTGACTTGCAGGCGAGGTCCCTGGTTGGGGATGTATGAGAGGCAACTCATAGATGTTTCACACATCCATGCTTCTTTCCCTTTCTTTCTCCCTCCCTTCCCCCTCCCTGAAAATAAATAAATCTTAAAAAAAAAAAGATTACTTCAAACAGGGCTACAAACAAAATAGAAAATTTAGATAAAATATAACAATTCATTGAAAAGGACAGACAACCCATTGTATCCAATATGAAATATATATTCCCAATAAATCCATACTTACCAAAGCCGAACGACAGTTAAAAAAAACAAACCAAAAAAAGAACTACACATCATTAGTCAAGAAATTATAAGAAAACTTCCTCAACAAAAATATAATCAAATGGAATGTTTTAATATGGTATATTAATATGCTATATAAAAAGAATTATACTCCAAAAACAAGTGAGGTTTATTGCAAGAATGCAAGTCTGGTTGAATATTCAAAATCATTGCAATTCTGTAATATCAATAGGCTGCAGAGACAAAAATTGGATCATCATATCAACTGATATAGCATTTGACAGAATCTAATACTTATTCATAATAAAAAAATTCTCATTCAAATTAAGAATAGAGGGAAACTTTCTAAACTTGATAAGAAAACTATGAAAACAATTCACAACTATTATCACACTTAAGGATGAAAAACTGAACATTCCCCCCCCTAGTATCAGGAACCCGTCAACACTATTCAATTTCATACTGGAAGGTCTATCTAGTGCAATAAGACAAGAAAAGGAAATAATAGGTATACAAATTGGAAAGGAAGAAATAACTGTATTTGCAGCTGACATTTCTAGGTAGAAAATCCCAAAGTTTCTATCCAAAGAAATGGCTAATAAGAAGTGAGTTCTACAAGGCTGCAGGATACCAAAATACCCCCAAAACAATTACATTTCTGTGTACTACCAAAGAGCATGTACACCCTTTGTATAAAAATTTAAAATCTATGCCACTTACTCTCACTCAAAAATAAAAGCCTAGATATGCTAACAAAAATTTTCAGAACTTGAATGCTGAAAATTATAAAATGCTAATAAAATAAACCAAAGGTGACTTAAATAAATGTAGTTATATCATGTGCTTGTTCATGATGCTGACTCTCAAACTGACCTCCTGTGTAAATCAATTTCTATCAAAATGAGTAAGACTTTTTTTTTATAAGACTAGACAATCTCAAGATTTATATGAAAAGTTAAAGGAACTATAAAAGCTAGGTCAATTTCAAATAACAGAGTGGAATCACTTTACTCAATTTTAAGATTTACAGTCTAGCTACAGAAACAAAACAATAAATTGGGATTAAGAAAAAGTCTTAGGTTTTAAAACTACTACATAAAGGTTTGTTTTTTAAAAATCAAAGCCTTAATAGTCTTAACTGGAATAAAATATGCTCATTTGTACGTGTATCCTTATGGTCTTAAATACCCACCCTCAACTGTCTAACTCACTTAACATTGGATCGCTATGAATGTATACAAAATACATAAAGGATGAAGGCCCTTTGCCCCTAAAACATTATTCTTGCCCCAAGTAAACTAGGTAATCCATGACAAAGTGCTGTAGGCTTTAACAGAGAAGTCTCATTGCATTTTCTCTTCTAAGTCTCCTCTTTCTTTAAAACAAAAACAAAAACAAAAACAAAAACAGAAAATTCCTGAGATACACCACAATGCAAACTAAGTGAAAAATTGGAGGGGAAGGTTTTCCTTGGTGCACAGTAAGGCTGATCACTCCCTCACAGGTGAATTCTCAGATGCAGAATAAGGCTCTAGGCTGTGTCAGTTTCTAAAATGTGTCTTCCAGTGACAAGTGATGATCAGCAACAAAAGGTTTTCTCACAGCGAAGATTCTTGTGGGGTCTCTCTTTGGTATGTACTACCAGATGCCGTGGTAGCTGTTTTCTCCGGCAAAAGATTTCCCTCAGTGTTTACATTCAAAAAGTCTTTCCCCAACAGGAGTTCTCGGAGAGTGAGTGCAGTCTGCCCACTTGCGAAGGGTCTTCCCACTTCTGTTACACTGACAGGGTTTCTCCCAGAATGCATCCTTTGGTGCTGACTGAGGGATGAGCTGCGGCTGAAGGCCTTTCCACACTCGCTGCACTTGTAGGGCTTCTCTCCAGTGTGGATGATGGCGTGTCGAATGAGGTTGGTGCTCCAGCAGAAGGATTTCCCGCACTCCATGCACTCATAGGGCTTCTCTCCACTGTGAATCCGCTGGTGCCGCGTGAGGCCTGACCTGCGGTTAAAGGCCTTGCCACACTCACCGCACTCATAGGGCTTCTCTCCAGTGTGGATGCTGAAGTGCCGAATGAGGTCTTTCCTAGTGCTGAAGGCTTTCCCACATTCTTTACACTCAAAAGGTTTCTCTCCAGAGTGGGCCCTCTTATGTAAGATAAAAGTGGAGCAGTGGGTGAAGGCCCTACCACATTCCATGCACACAAAAGGCTTCTCGCCAGTGTGGATCCGCTGGTGCCTCTTGAGGTATGACCTGTGGTTGAAGGCCTTCCCACACTCGAGGCATTCAAAGGGCTTCTCCCCAGTGTGGATGACGTAGTGGTGAATGAGGGCTGCACTCTCACAGAACGCCTTCCCACACTCGCTGCACTCATAGGGCTTCTCCCCGGTGTGAGTCTGCTGGTGCCACATGAGGTAGGACCTGTGTTTGAAGACCTTGCCACACTCGAAGCACTCGTAAGGATTCTCGCCGCTGTGGATGATGTGATGCCGAAGAAACCCTGGCCTGTGTCGAAACACTTGCCCACATTCTTTGCAGACAAAGGATTTTTCTCCAGTGTGTCTCCTCTTATGCAAAACAAAATTGGAGCGGTGGGTGAAGGCCTTTCCACATTCAGTGCACTTATAGGGCTTCTCTCCACTGTGAATGCGCTGGTGTTGGGTAAGGTACGACTTCCGGTTGAAGGCCTTCCCACACTCCAGGCACTCATAGGGCCTCTCCCCTGTGTGGATCATGTGGTGTTGCAGGAGGTGTGTGCTCTTAATAAACGTTTTCCCACACTCTGTGCATTCGTAGGGCTTTACTCCAGAGTGAATCTTTTCATGTCCAGCAAGAAGGTGTTTCTTATTAAACACCTTCCCACATTCACCGCACTTAAAGAGGTTTTCCTCTTCCTGAACCATGGAATCTTTACCAAATTCATGTGAGTCATGATCAGGAAGAGCACCTCCCTGAGGAACTGGCTCCCTCACAATCCCCGAACACACACTGTCAAGTGGCCCTAAGCCCCCACGTTCAGGGTTTCCTGATCTCAGGTGTCCTTCCTGCACGGACACTTCTGATGGGCCATCCCGATCCTTGGCCTGATTCACCCGGGAGTCCTGTGCAAATTTTTGTGTTAGTTGTTCCTCGAGTGAGAATCTCTCAGGCAGGGCAGGCTCACAGGTGATAGGTTCTGTGTTCCTGAGTTTTTCTTTGTCACCTGAAAGAAATCCAATACACGAAAAGGCCTGTTAGTAATGGCAGCACAGAAGAACCCAAATCAGCACTACAGTGTGTGCTGTGTTTTGCTACCTCTGAAGCCCAGGATTGGATCTCTCTCTGTCCTGGTTCTTGGACTGCTGGCGCCCAGGGGAATGGCTGGATGACAGGGCAGAGTACCTGGAGGGAACACACTGGCACAATTCCAGACTGGACATGGCTGCCCAGAATAATGGGGTCGTGTATTCTGAGTTTCCTCTGAGCAAACCCATCCCATGTGGCTACATGAAAACTTGAGAAGGATATCTAATGCAGCCCCGTTTGAAGACAAGAAGTGTATATGCCAAGTTAACTCCCCCAAAGAGAAGCATAATCTTTGTCCCAACTCCAAGGAAGTAACCTCTAAATTCTGGGTATTTCCGGAATGACAGGAATGTCTGGGTTCTTCATGGAGCGCCCCAGGAAACATACCTGATAGTTTACAGCAACAAAATAACTCATGATGGGCCCCTACAAAGTATATGGTAAGGACACAACTCTGAGCAAGGTCTAGCCCTATCAGAAAGACCAACCATATAATTAGAAAGGTGGAGCTTTGAGCCACAGGTATCTGCAGAACTCCTGGAAAGGAGGGCTAGAGACTGAGTCCCACCAGCAAAGACTCAGGACTCAGTGAAATGAAGTCGCAAGGAACATCTGGATAGTAAGGCTCCAGGGAGCTTCCTGGGTGGATGGTGCCCCTTGCTCATGCTGCCACACATCCATGCCAGGGGGAGGCGAGTTGCTGAGGATACGGAACTTTTGTGTTTGGAACACTTCTAGCCCCAAGTTCCACATTCCTTCTAATCTGGATCTTTTGTCTGTACTATATATGATATTGGGTGTAGGGTGTTTTGGGGAGTTTTCTCAATCTTTCTAGCAAATCACTGAACCTGAGGGTAGTTTCGGGTACTCCCCGAACTTGAAGCTAGTGTCAGAAGGCCAGGGCAGTCTTGGGTGCTGTGACCTTCACCCTCAGTCTGGCTAACACTGTAGGAAAAATCAGGGCTTTCTAAGAGGAGGCGCCTATGCCGTGAGTCCCACTGGCACCGTAAGAGCTACCACAAAGAGAAAGGGGGAGGGCACAGCAGCCCTTTCTCAGTGGGAGACAGAAGGTACAAGGGCGCTGCAGAGACTGAGCGGACAGTGAGAGCAGAAGCTGGGGACAGACTGCGGGACAGCGAGGACTGGCAGGGCAGGGCCCACAACGTGAGCAGGACGGGGGTGAACACACTGAGTCTGTTATGCCTGAGGAAAGGCCTGCTGAAGACTGGCCAAATACACGATCTAGAGGGAGAAAATTATAACATTAAAGATGAGGTCAGCTCTGGCCCGGTAGCTCAGCTGGTTACAGTGTTGTCCTGAAATGCCAAGGTTGTGGGTTCAATCCCCAATCAGGGCACAGACAAGAATCAACCAATGAGTGGAACAACAAATCGATGTCTCGCTCTTTCTCCCTAAAATCAATCAGTCAAGACAAGGATTATTGGTGAAGGATTTCATAATACAAAACCAACAATTCTACCCAAGTGAATATATAAATTCCATACAATTCCCTGTAAAGTGCCAACCAGTTACCATGGAACCCGATGGTCTGACTGTGGATCTGCATGAACGACCAGAGGGGAGAATAAGGAGTGTAACGAGGACACCTACCTTACCAGATAATACCAGATATCAAGGTCTGGTCGTACTGGCACAGAGAGCGGACAAACAGGCACTGGAAGAACAGAGAGCTCGGGAAATACACTCACATATGCATGGAGCTGGCAGATGGCAAGAGGTGGGGCAGCTCGGTGGTACAGCAGAGAATACAGAGTGAACGCAGCGGGAAAAACTAGTGGCGTGGGGGAATGACGTGTCTCACGCTGAACTCAAACACTGCCTCGGAGCAAAGAGTTAAACGTCAAATGCCAAGTTCTAAGACATAAAATAAACAAGAATATCTTCTGATATTGGGGGTAAAGCAAGATTTTTATGCAAGACAAAAAAAATCACTAATCATGTAAGAAATGTTATTAAATTAGACTACACTAAAGTTCCTCTATTCAACAAAGTAACTTTAAAGGCAGTGAAAAGACCAAATTAAAAAACAGAAAATTAAACCTGTATCATCTATAATTGACAAAAGTGTCTGAGTGTACAAAGAATCTCTACAAATCAAAAAGCAAACCAGTTAATAGAAAAACAGGCATTTGTCATGAAAATGACATTTCAAAGATGAAAACACAGGTTGGCCAACAATCACATGATCAGGTGCTAAAGAAAATGAGACACGACTCTGCGCCCACTTGATGTGCAAAAATCGAGGTGCCTCAAAATAGCAAACACAGGACAGCACTGTCTCCTTGGGAGAAGTGTACACTGATCTAGACTCCTTAGAAAACAACGGTCACTATCACGGGAGCTTGAGTCTGCCCAGCCCATCGTCTGCACAACCCACAAGAAACAGCAAAAATGCCCGAACCAGGGCAAGAGGACCAGTCCACATGGTTGTTTTTGGCAGCACTATGAGTGAAAAGACGTAAAACAATGAAATGCCCCAGGGAATGGATGAACACAGCGTGAGACAGGAGCATTTTTAACTTATTTTCTTCAGCTGTGAGGACCTTGAGCAGATTTTTATGTTGAGTAGGGAAAGGACGAAGTTATCCAAAGAAAGCATGTAAGTGAAGAATACAAGCAAAGGGAGGGTTTCCCTGTAAACTGTGATACAGCCCCTGGTCCAGGCATCGGCTGTGGTTGGGGGAAGAACTCTTCCACCAGTGAAAGGCGATGCCGCAGACAGGAGGGCCCGCGTGCACGTGGCCGGGCGGGGAGCAAGCAATGGAAGGAAGTGGACGTGACCCCCCACAGGAAACCTCACAGACCCATTAGGGGCCCCAGGCTGAGACAGCTATGGCTGGGGAAGGGGTCACTGTCTGGGACAATGTGGGGACAGCTCATGCAGGACACAGAGCCGACCCACGGCACACGCTGACGTGCAGAGCAGATGGGAGACGGTTAGCACCCCCGCTCCGGGGGGCAGGGCAAAGACGCAGAGCTCGAACTGCACGTGTGGGGACGGGTCAGACGGAGGTGCCGGAGGGGTGGGAAAGGAAAAGGCCTGGGGACGGCGGGGCCCAGGGACTGACCGCGGTGGAGGGCGAGTCCTTCTCCGAGGTCGCATTCAGTCTCTAAGCTGCTTCAATGACAGGACCACTCGCTGACACTGGGGTGGAGAGAGGAGCGAGCAATGTCATGGGGTCCTTGCCAGGAATGCCGACTTTTGGGGCCTTTGAGACCTTCAAGTGGAGATGCAGAAGCAAGGAGAGGGCGGAAGGCCGGGAACAGACTCTGAGGGGCTGCCGACACGCGCAGGCGGGCCGAGCGGCCCCAGGAAACAAGGCATGGACAGCAATGACTCTGGCGTGCACCCCTCTGCCCCTGGGGATGCCCCAGCGCCCTCCGCAGCTCGCACGTGGGGCAGAGGTCAACGTCACCTTGCGGCTTCACCCCGCAGGAGGCGTAGGAACAAGGGGGTGCCTGTGTTTCCAAAAGACACTCAGGATGGGTGGCTGGAGAAGGTGTGACAGTGGCTGGCAGAGCACAGCTGGGGAGAGCAACCGCACGGGAAGAACGGCCCTTTCCCTCTGCGTTCAGTGGGAAACGTGAGACTCGCTGCTCATGATGATAAGGCACAAGTAATGCCCAGGGCTTGCTTTTCACGAGCCAGCCACAACGGCGCTAAGCAGTTCTATGCAGTAACGCAGCGATCACATCCCCAGACCACCTCATGACAAAGGCCCCATTCCTACTGGCATCTCCCCGCAACAGGCCGGGTGTAGCCGGCTACACGCACCAAACCCTCTGCTCTCGGACAGGACACACGGCTTCGCCGCACCTCCCAGCCCCACACCCAGGGGTGCCCAGGCGCCCCGGTCCCGTCGGTGAGATGTGAGGGGCGCTGGTGTGTGTGGGAGCTGGCCTGACACCCTCTCTGCCTCTCTCCACTCCCCTCTGCCGGCTGCAGGAGGTCAGGACAACCTGAGAGCCACCTGCTGATGACAGACCCGACATGGGTCTCTGGATAACTGTGTGGTGCAGAGCTCCCTGCGGACCCCCTGGACCCTGCCGTGACTGAGAAAAAGAGCTTCCATATGCTGAGCGCTGAGATTCTGGAGTCTGTCTGATGCGGAAGCTGGTCTTCACTTATGCAAAGACACAACGAGATCATGCGACTTCGTTACAGCCGCAGAGCTAGGCATCAGCGGGCCAAGCTTTGAGGCCACACATCCTAGCTCATACACCTCTGTCCCCCACGAGGCCAAAGGGACCACGGTCAAAGGCTCCACGGCTTCCAAACCACCAGACAGGCCACGACAAGTCTCCCGAGGGGTCCGCGGCCAGTGTCTCATGAAGGTCTCTGGGTTGCAGGGTCTTCCATTCGCCCCCATCATGGCTCCTACCTGGACAGGTGCTTTGGGAGAGGTCCTTCTTCACAATCCGCAGCTCCTGCCTGTACTCCAGCTGGTGGACCAGCTCAGGACTGGGAACAGGACACCCTGTTCATGGAGAAGGAGGACATAAGGATTTTTGTGAAAGGAAACAAAGCCGCTCAGTCTAGTCTGGGACTTGAGGGTGTGGACAGGACCTCAGAATGAAGCTGCCCCCATCCACACACACCGAAAAGTGACACGTGCCCTGCAGTGCCAGGACACAAACACCACCGCCGGGATGCAAATGCTGCAGGCGGCAACGCCGGCTGTGTGGACAGCACTTTCCCTTCGGTGCCAACACATGAAATTTAAAGTCTGTTCAGTTGTTGCCGTGAGACCTCGGGAAACACCCCCCGCCTTCCAGAAGGTGTTTTCTAATTAATCCCAGTAAGTGGGTCTCAACCACCACCTAGATCATAACCCCTGGGATGCCTGGTTCACATGCAACTGAAACCAGATCCCTGAAGAGGGAGGGGGGCCTAGACCTCAGGAGACGTGAAAACCTCCCCAGACAATTCTGGTATCGACAGAGGGTTGAAAATCTTTGGTCTCCACCAGCTTGCAAAGGGCTTATAGTCTGAGGTGGGCAGGGGATCTAAATCGGCCACTGTGGGGAGAGAGTTTTATCCTCGGATGACTAACGGAGGGGACCTGCCGCTCTGCTTGTCCTGCGGCATCCTGGGACTTCGGTGAGGCGACTGCCTCGGCGCTAGGGAAGAGGCGAAGACAGACACTAGGTTAGCACCCATCAAGCTGGCCCCACCTCTGAGGTTCTTGTTAAGTGAGGTAATACAATAATAAGTCCCTTGCAGGGGGAAGACCGAGCTGGTCTGTCCCATGCAGCCAAGCACAGATGCAGGGAAGAAGGCACAGGTGTCTCCCAACAAGCCCGTGACACACATCACAACACACACAAGGCTCCTCCGGCCGCTCCCACACCACAGCCCAGGGTCCAGCAGTCGTCGCGAAGCCAGCGTTCCCTTGAGTCTGCCACGTGCCCAGGCTCGGTGATGCGGCAGGGGACAGGTGAAGAGACCTTCCTTTGGCTCTGCCAGGGGTTTTCTCCCTGAGACCTCAGGGCCTTTGCACGTTTCAGCCCTTCTACCCAGAAGCCTTTTCTCGGCCTATCTCATTCCTTCCGGCTGTAACGCTTTGTGTCTTAGCTCAAGTGTCACTTCCTGAGACTTCGCTCCACTGCAGCTCCTGGGCCCAAGTGCTTCCTAAGGTCCAGGCGGCACCACCACACCCCGAGGGCCGTGCCGCGCAGGGAGTGCATCATGCTGGTCAAACCGGAAATAACCCTGGAACAGGATCGGACCAGGTGTGCGTCGTCAGGGCCCCCCATCTTTTCAACCCAAAGCAGAGTTCTGAGGGCATGTGCCTCAGGCCATGCGCAGTTTACAGCTGCAATGACCCAGGGCTGCAAGGGCTCCGAGTCCCTACCCGCCACTGCGTTGGGAAGGGACGGATCGCACCCACGGTCCACACACCAAGCCCCTGTGCTGGTGACCCACGGGCACCGGGGGTACGCGGGAGCCTGACCACCGCACCAGAGCCTGCGCTCAGGCGCCAACGGGGCTGCCAGGGGCCACCGCACCCGAGCTCAGCTGAGCCGCCCCCGCGCCCCCGCCCCCCCATGAGGTCAGACGCTGGAGGGGGAGGGGCGCGCAGGGACTCGCTGGCCCCGCGGTATGGGGCGCACCCCTCACAGGGGCCGTGGCACAGAGGCGGCTTAAACGGCTTCATGGGGAAGTCTTGTCACTGTTCCCTGTCTTACTGCTGTTGCTGTTAAGAGACCTTTCCTTAATGACTGGTGGTTCCATGTAGTATTAAAAAAAAAACAAAAAAAACATAGAGCGAGGACTCTCTTGTTTCTACTCCCCCCCAGGACACCGGAAGGGGCTTCTCACTTCCTCCGAGGTCATCCACCCTGGCCGACGTGTCCGGCACGGGAGCGGGTGCAGCTGCCTGTCAGCGCTCCCCGTCAGGCCCCGGTGCGGGGGCGCGGGGGCGCAGGACCCGGCCGCCGCCCCAGAAACGGGCCGCCACTCCCGGCCGGGCCGCCTGGGGCCGCCTGGGGCCGAGCAGGTGCGCATTCAAACAGAAGAAAGAAAAACGGGCAGGGCACAGAGAGGTGACCCCCCACCCGGCCCCCAAAATGATGTTATTCAGAGGCAGGCAGAGGGATGAAGGGACCGCTTATGCTGTCCGCTGGGGTCATCCCAGGGGGCGGCCGCTGCCTGGAGGCCTCAGGCCCTTCCCGTCCAGCCCTTTATAAAAAAAAAAAAGACGACAAACTGAAAACCCCGGCTAAAAGTCCAAGAGGGAAAAAAGGGTGGGAGGAGGCTTTAAACCTTATCTACCAAGCAAACGCCAGGTCTAGCAAACATAAAACTAGTTCTAGACTATTCACTGATGTAAAAACAGTAACAAAAACCAAACTCCTATATTCGAGGGTGGGGGAGGAATACAAAAATAAAACACGATATAGTAACTAAATCAACACTGTCCACAACTTGACCCAACTGGAAACCCAAAACTGATATATTAAGTTTATATAATTTATATAGCAAATTATCTATGATAATTATGTACAGCGTAAGTACTTACAAATTTATATGATAAAAATGTTGTATTACAAAACCAAAACAGGGCACTTATCAACTTTCGTGCTTATGACCACAGTTCTAAATTTAAAATGGAAAAACTTCATGAATTTAATATGGGGGCTCAGATCATAGTTATAGCTGGGGTACAACTTAAACACTGTATTCCCCAATCTCAAAAAGCAACGAAGCAGGAAAACAAGGCCGGCCTCACTGGAACTACAGCCTCGCCTAAATTTCCCAGTCATAGTGCCCACGGCCCCCAAACGGCCCAAACTGCGCGCAGATGCCCTGGCACGATGCATCGCTGCAGTGAAATTTTGGCGCTTACACGCTGGCTGGAAAAGTGAGACCCCACAGACCCTGCTGTAAGTAGCTACGAGGGCCCGCTGTGCGTTGAAAATGAGCATCTGGGGAGTAAAAATTACATAAAACCAAATAAATAAAGGGGAAATTATCCTCGCTGCCCTGTTTGACCGCGCAGCTTTGCCCAGGAAAATCGAAGGGCACCCCACGGAGGTTACTACAATCAGAATACTGTGCTCCCGTCCGCCAGGGTCCCCAGGATGGACTGCACTGTGTCCCCCTAAATTCATGTTAAGCCCTAACGCTCAGTGTGACTGTATTCGGAGACAGGGCCTTTGAGGAGGTAGGTAAGGTTAAAGGAGGTCACAGGGTGGGGCCCTAATCTGAAAGGACGGGTGTCCCGAGAAGAGGGGGGGCCTCTCCCAGACACAGAGGGGAGGCCATGTGAGGACACAGCAGGACAGTGGCCAGGAGGACAGGTCACCAGAGACAGCTCTGCTGGCACCGGGTCTGGGACGGCCACCCCCAGGACTGCGCGAACATAAATGCCTGTCGGTTAAGCGACAAGTGAACGGCTGCCCGAGCTGAGGGGTGCAGTCCACGGACCCGACACCCGACACTGGTAAAATTACTGACGTCATCCACTCAGCAACCAGCAAATGCTTTGCGCTTCTGGATTTGGCCGACAGACCCTGGTGAACACCTATTCTAACAGCCTCTCAGTCAGTCTCCCTCCACATCTTAAGCGAACCACCGTCCTTCCCCAGGCTACCCTGGGGCATCTCAACAGCTCTGCCTCCGCACACAGCCCTGGCAGACCAGCTCCCCGGGAAGGAGACTAGTTTTAGATGACAGTACTATTAAATGCTACTTTAGGTCTTGTGGAAATATATTCCTCATTTATAAACTCTACTGCAACTCATAGATACTGAGACTTACAAACCAGCTCCCCTTAAATGGGGGTCCCTGCAATAAAGGCTCTAAAGTCGGTTCAAAATTCCTTCACTCCCATTAGCGGCCCGGCGCCTCCTGTACTGCAGAGGCACTGACCGCCTCCTCTGCCTCCTGGAGACTGTCACCTACCACGGTCCTCGGTGGGCCAAGGGCTGATGGGAGAAACCGTCCCCCTCGGCCTCCAGCTACACACCATGGGAACAGTGACTACCAGCACCCCAGGCCTCCCGAGGAGAGAGGCTCTCAGACCCCGCCCCCGCCCCGCGGGAGGCCTCCACACCCAGGGCCCAGGATGCTTCTGGGCAGCAGCCAGGCACAGCCCCCGAGGCCTCAGCTCTGAAACAGGGCGGAACCCAGCCTGGGCCCTCAGGGAAGCTCACCTGCAGGCGGTGTGGGCCTCCCCTCTGCTTAGCGCCCAGCCACATGCCAGGGCGCTGAAGTCACCTCTCCCCCAGGGAGCCCCTGGGACTAACTTAGTGAATGGTGAGGCCAGTTCGTGGACTCATTCCAGTGCCAGAGCTCAGTGACCGCTGCTGCTTCCACCCTGGGCCTGAGCGCCCTGGACCAGAAATGAAAGGAGCATCTTTTGTTATTTGTAACAAGGCCCATTGCTACCACGGCTGAGTTCATGATCATGTTAACGAGGTGAATTTTGGGAAGCCCCTAAGGAGTGGGGGCTGGATGCCAGAGGGACCAAGCAGGAGAGCAGACCCCTGAAACTTCAGCCCCGCCCCTGACCTCGGTGGTGGGGAGGGGACCGGGGTTGAGTCCAGTCCCCCGCCGCCTGCCATTTCACCAGTCAGGCCTCTGTAAGGCGGCTTCCACAGGCAACGGTAACTGAAGTGGTTCGGGGCGGTACCGGCTGGCGAATACACTGACTTGTGGGGAAGGCTGGAAACCTGCCGCTCTGCCATGCGGCTGTGCCCGGGCTGTATCCTTTATAGTAACCAGGTAACACTAAGTAAGGCACTTTCCTGGCTTTTGAGGACTGTTCTAGAAAATCATCAAACGTGAATAGGGGGTCATGGGACCCTCATTCACAGCCAGCTGCTCAGGAAGGGTGACAACCTGGACTGTGACCGGCATCTGAAGTGGGTGGGTGGGAGTCAGAAGGGCGGTCTCAGGAGACTGAGCCCCTACCTTGTAAATCCCAGGTAGTCAATGTCAGAAGTATTTTGAGCAGAGAAAGAGAGGCTTCTTCCTTTTTACGCACACACTCCCCTCCTACTTTTAGCACATCTCACAACTCCGCTGAGGGGTTAAGACACCCCCCCGCCGCAACTTTAGACTGATTTTCCCAGCCAGTGCTGCAGAGATGGGGAAACTATATAAATGGGGGGCATAGCGATGGCCCCTGCCGGGACCTCTTACGCTCTATCTACTTGTGTTCCCCCTTTGTGCTCTCAGGATAAAATGTCTTTAGGGCACCTTCACGCCATACCTTGTAAAAATCTCCACTACCATCACCCCAAAGTTTCCTTAACATGATGTGAAAACATCGAAGGACCAATAATCACTCTTTCCAAGCAATTTCCAGTTGTACAGTGATCCGACGTCTTCGGACTCTCTTACCCCGTGCAGGGCGAACACCTAGCACAACTCACTGGGCAGCACAACTTCCAAATGCAAACAGTCCACAGTTGTAACCTTCCCACATGCAGCCAGCCTGTCCGCCGCCCTGAGGCAGCCAAGGCCCAGCCCCCAGGAGCAGCCCTTACTGCCCCAGAAGAGCAGGCTGGAAACAGCCCAATCGAGTCCCCAGCGGCTGACCCGGCCCCGCCCCTTCCCCACAGAAACCCCCGCGGATGCTCTGGGCTCCACTTCCCCACGGTCAGTTTCCTCCAAACCGACACTGTGCTTCCCCACGTCGCTCTGGGAGACGTGCGGTGTCCCTTTCTCTCAAGAGCTGGGATAAATTCTCCTTTCAATGGCACCGACTTCTCTGTGTCACCTGTCACTAAGTCACCTCCCTAAACTGAAATCCGGCAGGTACCAATGAACACAGTAGGGACGCCCTGGGGATTATATGAGTGCAGTGTGGACGGTGCTCAGGGGACCTGTGCTCTCACGGTTAATTGCTTTTTTTCCTTTTTTTAGACTATGCCCTGGCCTGGCAGCTCAGTTGGTGAGACCGTCGTCCTGGTTGCAGGTTCGATCCCTGGTCAGGGTACATATAAGAATCAACCAATGAATGAAGGAATAAGTGGGACAACAAACTGATGTTTCTCTCTTTTTCCTTTCCTCACTCCCTCTAAAAAAACAAAAGAGAGAATAAATTTTTTTAAAAAGACTTTATTTATTTTTAGAGAGGGAAAAGGAGAAAGAGGAAGAGAAACATTTATTGGCTGCCTCCCACATGCCCGTAACTGAGGACCTAGCCTGCAACTCGGGCACGTGCCCTGACTAGAGATCAAACCGGCGACCTTTCAGAACCAGCACTCAACCCACTAAGCCACACCAGCCAGGGCTTAACTGCTTTTCCTAAAAGCAATCCACTTTTTCATTTTCTAAGATTTCTTCAAGAAAGGAATCCTGTGTGGCTCTGGCAAATGGGAAACCCAGAGCCCAGTCCCTGGATGGCAGGTCACTCTGAAAATTCAGCAAGGATTAAGCCCCAGTGAGGCTACTCTGCCTGTTGAAAGTAAAGAAGGTGTGTTAAGACTCAGCACTAAATCCAGATTTGCCATCAAACAACCAGGAGGCAGGGCGGAGAAGGCACAAAGGCCCAGCCTCCTCAGGGCACTTCTCTGGGGGACGGCGGGGGCGGGGTGTCCCAGCACCCTCTGGAGCAAGGTCTGCCAACCTAGAAGGACTATTTCACTGTGGAGAACGCTTTGCCAGGAGACGGGCAGGTATCTGCCCTGCCTACCAGATGTAGATGTATCCACACCCCAGATGTAACAACCAGAAACAGCTGCAGACAGTGCTGAGTTTCTCTGGGGAGCAGACCCTAGGATGAAAAGCACTGGTAGAGAAGGGTATAAACAGAATAATGAGGCAGTGAGTGGGATGGGGGGCCCTCCACCAGGTCTGGGTCAGGACGCAGCACTGAGGAGGCTGCACTAAAGGCCGCAGTGCCAACACTCCCAGGCGGACAGACAGCAAACACACACGAAGTGAGCCTGGGGGTGAGCTGGCGCCCGGCTGGAGCGGGGAGCTTGGGGAAAGCATGTGGAGCAGGGCCAGAGAGGGGGCCCTTTATTTTAAAATATTTTGTGGGGGACGCGGGGGAGGTGTGTGGAGGTGGAAGAGAGCGTAACAGGAATAAACGGTAGTGGGGGAAAAATACAATAAAAAACCAAACTATTTTTAAAAAGGAAACAATTTTTAAAGTTTTCGTTACAAAACGTTTAATCTACGAAGCTTTTCTAATTTTACTTTATTTCTAATCCACACAAAATATTCTTCCAGTTCTGTGAAAACAGGCATGCCTTACCCCAAGCCCTGGATTTCCAGCCCTCCCTTCCCTTGAGCCGAGTGGTCTACATGATTATCTTCCAGCACGGGACCACCTAAGCCGGCGTTTCTCAACCCTGGCACTCCTGACTTTTCGGCCGGACGATTCTTCGTTAAGGGCACTTGCCTTGTCCCTTGTACGCAGCAGCACCTCTGGACGCTGCCTGCTGGATGCTAGTACCATCCAGAACCCAGCTGTGGCAATCAACACTGGCCACAGAGGTTGCCAAATGTCTCCTGGGGCACAAAGCTGGCAACTGTTTAGAGGCACTGGGGACTTAAGGAAGGGAGAGACCATCATGAAGATAGGAGAACGCACAGAAGACAAGACCAAGACCAAGCCCTGCGTTTAGAACAATACCTGGTGGCAACGAGGGCAAAGGCCTCCTGGGGGCCCGCCCGACCCACGTTGGTCTGGGAGAGCATCCTGTCACTCAGGGCCCTGACACTTGCCCTGGAGGGGACGCCGGGGCCACCAGGCTCACTCAGTCAGATCTCTCTCTGGAATGCAAGACAGGAACCCCCGACAGGGGCCAGTCTGTGCCGGGCACTGGGCGTGAGGAGTCTGGGGAAAATGGGCTCAGGGGCCTTCGCTGCCTCAAAGTCGCCCCAGAGAGCCCAGCGGCCAAGAAAGAATGAAAAACAACATAAAGCAGCAAAAAAGTAGGGACAAAGAATCTGGGGGCCACACAGAGCAGGGACTGAGGGGGCCAGTCCTGCCACAAACTCCCTCAGCAGAAAAAGCCCTTCTCAAGAGCGTGACGGGAGCACACCCAGGGAGAGGGGCCCGGACAAGAGGCCCAGGAGCCAGGGCGTAACCCGCGGGGGTCCCCGTCCCCGTGTCAGTCCCCCAAGGGCCCGACGGGGCATCGTGCCTTTGCGTTCTGCACAACACCCCCTGTCCTCCCACCTCTTCCGGGAACCAAAGGGGAAACTATGTTTCCTGCCCAAGACACACCTGGAGACCAGACAGGAGAGGTGAGTCTAGGAAATGACTGACGCTGTGGGGAGGAGGAGACAGCGCTCCCCAGACCTTCCTGACCACCGGGTCTGGAGCCGGGGGCGCAACACGGAAGCGCCAGGCGATCCCCGCGTGGCAGAGCTGGGGAGGACTCACCCAGAGACACCAGGAGCCTGCAGGTCTCCAGCATCACCTCCTGGTACAGGGTCCTCTGGGCCAGGTCCAGCTGCCCCCACTCCTCCTGCGTGAAGGTCACGGCCACATCATCGAAGGACACAGACACCTGGAAAGTCAAACACAGGACGTCGACTTGGCCTTGGAGCTGCGGGATGGGATCAGCCATCGTCTCTGCACTGCAGTAGAGGTGGTAAAGGGGCGACATCCAGGCCCAGAGCCGCAAGCAGCTCCTGAGGACCAAGCTCTGGGCTGGGCTCAGGCAGAGGTGGACAGCGCTCTGGACAGAACACAGCAGTGCAGGACCAAGGCCTCCTGCGCAGGACCGTTGTAACTGACAGAAGACAATGGACATGACACGCAGGTTGTGAGGTGCAGACAGCACGACGGGTTCCAGGACGCCCGAAGGGTGAGGAAACACTGATAGTAACCGTATCGGTGGCGGTAATAACAGATGGGCCTGAGCCCCCCCGACCCTGCCAGGTGCCCGCCCCATGCGGGGGGCGTCCCTTCTTGGTTAAAGGGACCGAAACTCCCCAGGTCTGTTTCCTGCGGTTTCTATCCCAATTTTTTTTAAACTTACTGATTTTAGACAGAGAGGTGGGGAGAGCAACGTCGAGTTGCTGTTCCACTTATTGACGCATTCACTGGCTGATTCTTGTAGGGGCCCTGACCCAGCACCAAACCGGCGTCCTTAAGAGGGTCGGTGGGAGCCCTGCTCTAACAGACCGCGCCACCTGGCCAGGACCCCTCACACCAACTTTTGCTGTGAAGTTCGTTTCCGTCCCCCCTACAAATATATCTGTGAGCATGAAGAGAGGAGCAGAGCGTCGCCACAGGCGTCACAGGAGAAACACCTGAAGGGGCAGCATCTACCTGGGTACCACCCAGGCCTGGACCAGCTCCCCACACCCCGGGCGCCTCCCGTCTCCCAGAGATTCCACAACAGATCATTAGCCTCTTTTCCTTTCTGCATCCTGACTGAGCTTATCCCTGAGGCCAGGACACTTCGGGACCACGGAGCACAGAGACCCAACGAAGAGCCTTGCCCACGCCTGCCCTGGCCGAATACAGGTCACGCCCTGCACCCAGGCTGCGACCTTGACCAGAGCAGCCTTGGACTGGTCCGGGACTGTCGCGGCTGAGGCTGGGTGACACCCCGCACTGTCCCCCTCCCAGACGTGTCTCAGCAGCTGCGGGAACCAGCGCCACCCCCCATCTAGGCCTTCCTTAAACAACCCATACACCTGGCCTTTGTCCGTGCACTTCTGCCTGGTCATCCCCGTGTCTTCTCTGGCTCCCACGCCCAAGGTCACCTGTTGGAGAACAGGCGACCCTGCGCGGACCGCCGCTGGACGCGGTGGGGGTTGGGATTGATGATGAGCGCCGCAGACAAGGCATCACCCATTCTTAAAGCAACTCAGGGACCCCCTGTCAGAGGCCCAGCACCGTTTAGGACCGGGGACAAACTAAGTGGCAACCCAGGTCCATCAGCTAAGTCAAAGCCGGCGGGTGTCCCTGCTCCCAGCCCGTCAGCTCCGAAGTCACCGTCACGCACCTGCGCCTGGCGGGTCGGCGACGCCGCCATCGTGCGACCGTGGGGCGAAGACCACCGGCGCCCTCGGCTGACCGTCGCACTCAGGGCCGCAGTGTCCTTCGTGGACAGGGCGCGGCCCTCGACGACAGCGGGGATGAAGGGCGAGCGCACAGGTCCCGGGGAGGTCGCGGCCCGATGAGCGGCCAGGGGAATCACGGCCCGGACACAGGCGCGAAGGTGAGGCCGGCCCGCCTCCCCTGCTCGGGAAAGGGAACCGACGAAAGGCCTGAGGGCAGGGGCCGGCCCCGCGTCCTGATAGTAAGGGCCACCGGGGACCGAACCGCAGAGGCAAATGGCGTCCGGGGAGGAAACCCGGAAGTCCCGCCCACGTACAAAGGGCTTCCGGAAAAGCCCTGTCCCGGGCCGTCTTGACGAACTCCCGCCCCAGGCGCACGAAACACAGCCTTCTGGGTAATGTAGTCCTCCACGCCACACTAGCCGGAGCCGCGAGGAGCGTGTTAACTAGGAAGTCATTCTTCGCGTAAAAGGAGCACGAACTAACGACATTGAGGGGAAGTCGACGGTCTGGAGGCAGAGAAGTTCGTCCGGTTCAGGGCAAGTGTAAAGACGCAGGGCAAGTGTAAAGGAGGTAACCCGCCTGGTGACTTACCCACGCGGGTTACCTCCTTCCCAGGTTTTCTTCAGGACAGATAGACAAGTAATTTAAAACCCTCTTAAGGAGGACGCCGGAAGTCCCGCCTCCATACGTTGGGTACTCACCTACCGCGCTCTACTGGGACTTGTTTGCGTTAGAACCTCCTTCATGTGATACATGAACTTAGGAACCACGCAGTGGGGCCGGCATCACCCGGAGAAGGGAGTTACCATCCCCAGAGGTGGGGAGGCCCGCGTGGAGGCGGTCTGGAGGAAAATTCAGGACTTGCGTCTCCATCATAGTCAATTTGAAATGTCCAAATCCATAAAGTGTCTGTCATGTGGGCATGTCAACCTTCGACAACGTGGGGAGAGAGTTGGAGCCTGGATGTATAAATTTGAGAGTGACCCGAAACTGTTATTTCAAGTCATGACTGTAGGTGAGACCATCAAGGGGATGAGTGTAGATTGGAGAGAATGGACAGAGCATGAGCCCTGGACCAACCCACCTGGAGTTGAGTGGCTGATGACAGGAAACCAACAAACTCACGTTAGGGGTTCTATATACCGCCCAGGGTATGGTTAGCAATCTTAAACGTCACCATTGGGGGGTTCTTCTCTTTCTGAAATAATTGTGGAGCGAAGAGAACAAAATGCATCTCTCATGATTTAAAGATGTATATGGAATGAGATGGAAATCAGGGAGTGCAGAAAGTGCCCTTAAGAGATTTTATTTTTATTTCATTATATTTTATATTTTACTTTAAATCCTCACCCGAGCGTATGTTTATTGATTTTTAGGGAGAGAGGGAGAGAGAGAGACATCCATATGAGAAACATTACCCCCCCTTACTGTGTGTCCCAACAGGGGAATGAACCCTCAACCCAGGTATGTGCCCTAACCAGGGATTGAACCCACAACCGTTTTGGTGTAGGGGATAATGCTGCAGCCCACTTAGCCACCCAGTCAGGGCAAGAGTTCATTTTTTTTAAGATGTGACAGATGGCTCTGCCTGAGCAAGATGGCTGCTGTCACATGAGGGATGAGTCAGCCCTGAGATCCCACTGGCTACTCTCTCAGTTCTCTCCCCAAAGCCTCCTTCCCTAGTCTCTCCTCAGGCGTCTCTAGCCCTCTCTGCCCACGCCTTTGCTAGAGACCAGGTTAATACACTGTTAAATGTGAAATTAAATGAAACAGAAGATGAAAAGCACGTCTCTATATTGGATCTACCTGGCAACATTCTTATTATCCCTCAAGCCACCCTTGGTGAGAAAATAAAAGGAAGAAACATGCAGTATCACTTTAACTCTGGAAAAGAAGAAGGGTTAGAAGAACTTCATTCCCAGTTTGTGACTCTATGTGAAAAAGAATTAGCTGCTAACAGCAAGTGTGCTGAAGCTGGGGTTGTGGTGGAACATGGCACTTACGGGAACATGCAAGTGTTAAAGCTGGACACCAATGGACCATTCACACACCTGATTGAATTTTGAAAAATTAAAAGTCACTTTCTACGATTGTTTTCTGGTATAAAATGATCTGGACTATAATTGGATTTCCCCCCTTCTTGAATAAACTGATCTGCAGCATTTTTAGATGAGAAATCCTGGGTCCCATTCATAACTCTGCAACCTGCTAATTGAATGACCTTGCTAGTCACCTAAATTCTGGATCTCAGTCATTGTTCATTCTGCTTTTCCCTAAACTTCAATTTGAAATTTTGAGAAATGCTTTCTCTTTACTTTATGGTCATTGTGGAAACGTTCTGAGCTATATTTAAGTATTTTGAAATGACGAGTTTTGTGCAATCAAAAATATATTTCAAAAAAAAGAAAAATATATTTCTTATGCCTTAAATTTATGTAGTATCTAATAAAGATAAAATTAGGTAAAATCTAGCAAAAACCAATTGTAATTTTGTCTGTTTTACTATTCAGTTTTCTATATTTTGAATAAAAGAGTATGCAGTTTATAAAAAGAAAAGATGTGACAGATGTGTGTTGACAGAATGTAACTAGATCAAGGCTTGAAGAGTACCAATCAGTTTTGATAGGACTAGTAGAAAATACATTTTACAAATATATATGTATGTATATATATGTATGTGTATATATGCACATATATAGGCATGTATGCATACACATATCTATGTCTAGCGCATGTGTGAGAGATTTATTTCAAGGAATCATCCTACATTTGTGGGCCTGGCAAGGCCAAATCCATAGGGTAAAGGGCAGGCTGGAAACTTCAGTCAGAGCTAATGGTGCAGTCTGGACTCTGAATTTCTTCCTCAGGGTACTCTTATTGTTTCTCTCAAGACCTTTCAACTGATTGGATAAAGCCCACCTATGTTATCAAAATAAAATCCTTTGCTTAAAGTCAACATTTCAGATGTTAAGCATGTCTGCAAAATACCTTCACAGCAACGCCTAGTTTGATCCAGTAACTGTGTCGTATATAGCCTAGGCAAGTTTATAGCTGACTCCGCCCCTTGTCACAGATACACAGATCCTTACACCGTACTGCATCTCCAAAAATAAGATAGTTAAAGATATACTTTTGTCTAACCAGATCAAAGCTGGTATTGATCCATTGTTATGATGAGTCATATTACAGATGATGAATGTAGTATGATGCACTTGGATCTGGTAACCTCATTTAAATTATTTCATATCGGAATGCAGTGATTGCACTTGTAGCTGACGAATTCGATTAGGGTTTCATATCGTTAAGAAAAGAAAAACAAATTATTATATAGCCATGCATATTAAGTAGGAAAATCAATCAGAACAACAGACCTTTCAGAGGTTAGGGGTTATTTTTCCAGTTCATAGTTTATATAACTCCTCCTTAAGCATTTGCTTCCATAAGGCTTGATGACTGACTGCATCTTGCAGACTCCTTTTTCAGAAGTTTAAAGGGCCCTATAGCTTTTAAGAACAATGTCAAAGCAGCTTTTCATGTACTTTTCATGCACCTTTCATGTACTGGTATGAAAATGTACTAGATATATGTTAAGCAAAAATACCTAAAATCCAAGGCTAAATACATTATGCTGCCTTTTGGCCAATAAAAGGGGACATTTTTAAGGTACATTGTTTTTGATTAAAGAAAAGTCACTCAGCCCTGGCTGGTGTGGCTCAATGGACTGAGTGCCGGCCTGTGGACCAAAAGGTTGCCAGTTCGATTCCCAGTCAGGGCACATGCTCGGGTTGCAGGCCAGTCCCCAGCTGGGGGCATGAGAGAGACAACCAGTCACTGTTTCTCTCACATATCGTGCTTCTCTCCCTGTTTTTCTCCCTCCTTTCCCCTCTCTCTAAAATAAATAAATTTTTTTAAAAAGTCACTCAATTTGGTTACTTGTGAGTCAGGGAATAAATAGGAACAAAGCTTCCCACTGCTTATCTCATCACAACATTTTGCTTTTGTGCCATGTACATGCATTTCCTATTCAAAAAATTTTAATTTAAAAGTCAATTGCATTGCTTAAAAAATAGACATAATTTTATAATTTTTAAACTTTTATTTATTGCTTTTAGAGAAACAAAGAATCAGTTAAGTTGTTCAACTTATTGATGTGTTCTTTGGTTGATTCTTGTATGCACCCTGACCCAGGATTGAACCTACAATCTTGGTGTATCAAGATGATACTCTAACCAAATGAACTAGTAGGCCAAGGTACCCTTAGACTATTTTCATTGCTGCTTTGACTGTTGATCCTCATGGTAACCACACCTGCCTTACCTTTGGCAGCTGAGTGCTGCCCTTGGCACCTGCCGCCTTAGGATCCAATTATTCCTGTTGCATTTAGGTTTTCCAGTTCTCATGTCAGGGTTACCTGACAGGGCAGAAGGATCAGGGAGCTCTTCAAGGATGTTGGAGCTTCCCCCACAAATTTGTGACAAAGTATTGGTGAAGGGCATGTCTTACGGAGTCACCAAGTGTGGGTAAGCAGGTCTTTTCTTAAATGGGATTTATTGGAGTGACACTGGTTAATAAAATTATATAGGTATCAAGTGTACAATTTTATAATACATCATCTGTATATTATAGTGTGTGTTCACCACCCCAAGTACCCTTCTACCAACATTTATTCTCTCTTTACCTTCTTCTACCACCTCTTACCCTCCCCCCCCCCCCCCGTTCCTTTAGGTAATCACCATACCTTTGTCTGTGTCTATGAGATTGTTTTTTCTTTGCTTAATCCCTTCACCTTTTTCACCCAGCCCTCTATGAGTGGGTCTTAAGTTACAAATCCACTCTAACCCTCAAATCTCCCTAAGTTTTTAAATCTCTTCCTCTACATTAAACCATGGAAGGTTGGGCATTTCCATTGTGCTCACCATGGGCCGTTTTTTGGTCTGTGGTTCAGCCAACCAAAGAAGCTATTAGAGTCCTTTCGAACTCCTCGAGCTGCACCATTAGATTCAGCCTAGATTCAGCCTGATCCAAATTTATATTCCTTCCACCATTATCCCATATCCTAATGTGTCTGTTCTCCAGAAAACCCAAGTAGTTCTTTTGGAGTTTAATGCACCTCCTCACAGTCACACTTAATACCTCATCTTTAGCCGTCTGCTGGACTTGAGTTTAATTACAGGTCTGAAATCAATGTAAGGTTTTGGGCGTGGGTCCTAAGGAAGATTAGCATTGTCTTGCTTGGCAACTGCTTCGGGGCACTGGAATGCCATTACTGTTTCCTCAGGCAATGCAGCATTAACTCCC